CGAAACGTCGGCAAAAAAATGAAAAAGGTGTTTTTCTAAACTACCTCATTCTTGATCGCTCTTCACGACTTAAACAAATTATGGAACAACAGGTCACTAAGAAAAACACATTTTCACCCGAGAAGCATTTAAATTTTCCGACTCAAAATTATTAAACTATTATTGTGTATTATGTGTTCTTGTATTCGAAAGAGTTTAAGTTGAATTCCACATGGCTCGAGTTATTGCCTGAAGTATAGGGTCATTTTTAGGCATGCCAATTGATGCCACTACTCCAAAGTACAACTTTACTAAAAAGTACAAAGTACTGATACCAGAACGGGAAGAATGGGAGCACCGCTAAAGGCAAACTCCTTCTGGTATACGGACGGCTTCTAAACCGACAAGGGTACGTTGCTGGGGTCTTCGGAATGAACCCCAAGACCGAACGCGGTAAACCGAGGTAAGGATGCTACAGTTTTTCAGTCTGAAATCATAGCGGTTGAATAATGCGCCAGAGAAATAAAAAAGTCTAGGAATACATTCCCGGAAGGTAGTCATTTTCTCTGACAGCCAGGCAGCACTTAGCGCCCTCATGCGAGACGAGTGTTTGGAACTGCGTGGAGACCCTGGCGGAATCAGTGACACTAATGACCTGACCCTGGCATGGGTCACTGGACATTCGGAGCATAGATGCAAGGAAAAGGTTGACATGTTGGCCAAAAAGGGAGCCAACATGGACTCTCTGTGCCCAGAACCATACTGCGGCCTAGCAGCCTGCGACAAAAGAGGATACATCTTAAAATGGATCCTTAATGAGTCCAAGACCTGGTGGAAAAATACCACAGGTATGAGGCGGATGAAGAGATACATAGAAGAATCATCCTCAAAATACAAAAGAATTACTGGAAGGCAACCGCATACGAACCAGGATTCTGGTTGGACTCCCGACAGGGCACTGCCACTTAAGAGAGCATATGCACCGGATAGGAGTGACAGAAGAAACATCGTGCAGATACTGCCAGGAAGTGAAGACCGCAGAACACATTCTATATTTTTGTGAAGGTCTATGTAGGTGCAGGTTCTTGCCACTAGGATAAAAAAAAAGCACAAGATCCTACACTAAGGAGGCGCTGGCTAAGCTGTGGAGGCTGGTTAATAACCTGAAGCTGGCCAGCGAGTTATAAAAAACTGGGGAGCACAATACATCTATTAAGGTCCAGATGCAATAGGCCTTACGGCAGCCTCTTTCATCCCTATCCCTACTGCATGTAGTATGAAGAAAAATTGAAAGCAATGGACTATTTGTCATAAAAGAGCTTCATTATTTTCTTTACAACCCGATAGATTTTCAAATGGGATGCTCACGTACTATTTCCTTTTACAGGAGTATACTCTCATTTTTTAAATTTAATATAATTGTTTCCCGACAAATGAAGTGGACGATCGCGTATTAGCCGAGCGGGATCGCCAACTGGGCGAACAATATCCCAATTTTAACAAATAAAACTGCCCTGAGAGTGGTGATTCAGCGCCCTAACACTTGGATTGCCTACGGCTCTTCGGCTATGCTCATGTTGAATTCCGTTCCATTAGCGATAACATCCGACTGTGAAGCAGATGTCATGTCCGGTATGAGGGACCTTGTCTTTAATTTAACTACATTTCAAATCCTTTTAGCGACACATTGCTTCAATTATGTGCAGCCCCGGTACACGCGGTTTTATTGCGGTTCGGTAAAAATAAAATAATAATCAATTGAGTCTACCTTGAAAAAAAAAATGAATAAAAAATAACGTTCTAACGATTTGACCTCCCAAAGTTTATGCTTAATAGTACGATAATATGACGCGCTACACTGTCATGCCCTGCCATTTTGCGTCAATATCCATGAAGTTTTGCAAAATCAATTCAGATGAGAAAGATTTTTAGAAAACATTTTTTTCAAAATATAATACAATGGTCATTTCGAACTCCAAGCTAGTAAAGAATGCCTAAAAACTCTCATTTGTCGGGACACCAGAGCTTGAGGATTTGGGAAGAAACGAGATAGAAAATAAATTTAAAAAGTAAACTATATGCTCAAAATTTCCCAATGGCCTAGAATATCAGATCTGAGACAATTAAAAAAACATTCTGACAATCTAAACTCTTGGCAGGAAGAATGTGAGAACTTAATGGCTATTTGAAGTTTTTCGGAGGATCTAAGGAAGAAGTCAACACAGGGAAAAAACTTCCTTTCAGTTTTCGCCGAGCTTTCGACAGTTTTTATACTGTCATCTTCAGGGCCTGTTTTATTATCATACAAAAAGAACAATTTAAAACATGAAAAAACAAGTGCAAAAAAATTGAAAATTTTATATATCTTACTTTAACCTTAATGGGGAAATAAAAAGAAACATGGTGTCGTGGTTTTTTTATTTTGTTTCTTTTAAGAGATATAAAATTTTCAATTTTTGTGCAATTGTTTTTTCATTTTTTAATTGTTGTTTTTGTATGATAATAAAACAGGCCCTGAAGATGACAGTATAAAAACTGTCGAAAGCTCGGCGAAAACTGAAAGGAAGTTTTTCCCCTTTTCTTCTTTAGATCCTTCAAAAAACTTCAAGTTTCCAGCAGGTTGATAACCTAGCTCATCGTTAATGGCTATTGTTTTTGAATTGCCACCTCGAGAAAATGATTAAAGCAGGAAATTGCCAACTTTCGTCTAGAAAAAGACATCAGAGCTGTGTGGCTATGAAGTTTTCCAGTAAAATGGGTAAAGCTGGAACAGAAACTTTCTGACCTTTGTCAAGAAGGGATATCAATGACTGAAGAAGACAGTGTGTGACTGTGACACATCCCAGGCGACAGATAAAGCTAGAACAGTAATGAGTAACATGTCAAATTCAGTCAAGAAAAGGACGTCAAAGCTATCATTATGAAGCTTGATCCTGGGCGATGGTAAAGTTGGAACAAAAGATGCTAACTTTTCGGAAGAAAAGTACATATCCTATGTGGCTATGAAACTTGATCCCAGGTGATATGTACTGAAACATGCCAACTTTTGCCAAGAAAAGGACAATTGTAGTGTTCAGTGTGGCTTTGAGGCTAAATCATACCTCGTGGGCACTGCTGAAACAGAAACATGAAACGTGGCAACTTCTGTCAAGAAGAGGATATCAAACTGTGAAGCTTAATTCTGAGCAATGGAAAAAGCTGTGGCAGGAACACACTTTGTCAAGAAAAATCGCATCATAGAATGCCCCAAGTGACTGTGAAGATTGATCCTAGTTGTTGGATACAAATCAGAAATAAAAATTTTATGACTTTTCTTAAGAAAAGAACATCAGAATAAGACCTGTGAGGTTGAGATTCTGTAAGTATATTCTGTGTAATGGGTAGCTAGAACAGAAACATGCAATTTTTTTTCTGATTCATTGGAAAGGCAATAACAATGCCCAAAGAAATCAACGGAAGGGCACCAAGAAAGATGAAATTTCTAAAGAAAAGTTCACCTGTTTAAATTGGGATAATGGCGAAATGTCTCTTCGGCAATAAAATTGTCCAGGCTGCAGTAGGCATAGGCAAAAAGGCAAACTCTTCATCAATTCATTGCTAAGTTTATGTAAGCGTTGGAACACACACACACACAAACTTTTGATTTGGAGCTTATAATTGAACAAACTAGCTTGGTTTTTCTAAGTTATGCTGCAGATACTTTTAACATATTTTCTTTATGCCTGTATGTACATTTTCAAGCTAAAACTAAACCTCTCGGCTCACCTAATCACAAAAGAGTCGAAATTGGGGAAAAGACAAAAACATCACGTTTTATGTTACAATATTTGTACAGATTGCAAGATGTTGCATGGACTGGAGTATGCAGTCCAAAAATAAAATATGCCTTTGAGCATGTACGTATCGGACAAGCAAATACAGAGCTCTGAACTTTACCATCATCCTCAAAACAGTTCTGAATTGCTAGACCAAACTAAAATCTGAAGTGCAATCTGCATTAAATTGGATGCCTGAACTGTTCTGTGGGTCAAAATAAAAAAAGAAATTTTTTAATTTCAGATTAGAAAAGCACCAAGAACTTGTGATAACCCATCGAACACTTGCAAAACCAAGAATTAAAAGAAAATAAATTTCAGATCTGATTTTACAAAATTTCATACACAATGAATAACGTTAAAATGTACATTTCAATAGAAACTGTGCGTAAATCATGTGTCAGCCGAATTAATTTACATTAAGAAAATAAAGCTATTCTTCCTTCTTCTTTGTTGTAGAGTTGTCCTCTTCGTTTGTTTTTCTATTTTTCTTTTTCATGCAATTTAAAAAAAGAAAAATTTATCGCATTGTGAACCAATACCCATGGGAAGTAAAAAGTATGCGAAATTTCAAAAAAAAAGTTAACATAATTTTTTTTTCTTTTTGTTAAAGTAGGTTTCCATTAGATGTCTCGTGATATCATCCACTTTTCTTTCAATGGCGCATTAATTATTTAAGCCATGGCTCTTACATGCCGAACCATTTTTTCCCTAACCTTTTGGCATTAGCCATTACCTAATCTTTCAACTCATCAATAAATTAATTTTTTTTATACACATCACACATACTTGATTATACACCAGACCGCATCTCACGATTTAAAAAAAAAATTAATTATTGTTGAAGGTTTTAACAAAATAATATAATTTTCCAAATAAATAAGCCATTGATTTATAGATGTTGTCTGTACAATTCCTTCTGAAGTATATCACATATTAATAAATAATAATATATAAAAGTATATATAATATATACTTAAGGAAAAGTTTTTTTTTTTAATTTTTTAATTAAACATATTTTTTAATATCCAAAGAACAGAATGTGAAAATTGGTTAAAGTCTTAATTAGTTCACCAATAACCAATAGATCGTGAGAAGCAAGTAATTCACTAATCACATTAATTTAGTTTAATATTTACATACTTACAAAAAACATATGTACATTTATATAATGTTTTGTAGATTACATAAAATAAATTTTTCAATACACTTTTTAAAGATAGCTTTAGTTAAATATATATTTTAAATTAAAAACATAATTATACTTTATTATAAAATTACGTCATATCTACACAAAAAGTGGTAACTCCAGATTGTGCATGCAGCAGATCTTTCATTTCTATTCCGGTCTCAGCTTCTTCCATAGCAAAACTTTCGATACCGTCTTCAGTAGCGAAGTCTTCTTCGGCTTTATACCCGATATCTTCCGCTCTATCAACGTATGCGTGTTCCTTCTCCATGTGGGCGTTTAAATTGTTGAGATCTTTGCACAGGAAATCGCATTCCATACAAGAGAACATGATCTCTTCGGTGTGATCTTCCATGTGCCTATCGAGGCTTACAGGGTTGGTACACATGAAATCGCATTCGGTACAGTAAAGAGGCTTTTCGTTCGAATGCCTTCGCATGTGCTTTTTAAGACTGTACGGCAAAAGGGATGAATACTCGCATTCTGAGCATGAAAACATTGTTACTTCAGAATGAACCATCATGTGTTCTTTTAACGCTGCTAAGTGTAAACACAAAAAATCACACTGCGTGCATGACAAAGGTTTAACATGTTTTGCCATGTGTTTTCTTAATGTTGATAGTTGCAAGCTTGTATAGTCGCAGTCTATACAGACAAAAGGCCTTTCTCCTGTATGCTTTCTCAAATGGCCGTCCAAACTCGACCTTTGTATACATTGGTAATCACAATGAGGGCAGGAAAATGGTTTTTCACCAGTGTGCCTTTTTAAATGTTTCTTAAGGTTGGCTAACTGAGTGAATTTTTGATCGCAGTGATCACACTGGAAAGGCTTCTCACCAGTGTGCTTCATCATATGGATTTTCAAACTGGCATGAGTGACACTTCTGTAATCGCACAAGTTGCAACTAAACCGCTTAGATCCTCTATGAAGATCTTTGTGGTTTCTGTACTCATCCCTGTCTGATGTTTGGAACGGGCATAACGAACAGGAGAACGTCACCTGCCTCGTGTGCCTTCTCATATGCATTTTAAGGCTGGACGGTTGAATGCATCTGTAATCGCATAAAGTACAAGCAAACGGTCGTTCTCCGGTGTGTCGCATCATGTGCCGTTTTAAATTTGACGCACTGCTACAAGCTGCCATACATTGGTCACACGTATAAGGTTTCATATCATGTTGATGTATGTGAACTTTCAAATCTTTTTTAGAACTGAAAGTCTCCCCACACAAATCACATTTAAAACAATCTGGAGGGAGATGAAATTCACTATGTTCATTTAATGATTTTTTATCACCACAGCAAAAATCACAATGAGGACATTTAAACGGTTTTTCACCGGTGTGGGTGTTAATATGCTCCATTAACTGTTCACTATTATTTGCCTGAAAATCACAAAACGAACAGACATAAATATCATCGTCTTTTTTCACCATATCGTTATCTTCTTCTATTTCACCCTTTTTAATTTCTCCATCTTCAGTAGGACTTCTATCGACAGTCCTATTTTTCCCATTTACCATTAGATTGATTTGTTTCTTCAAATGTGTGATATCTTTTTTAGCTCTGATCATTTTATTCGTTTCAGGGTGGGACATGAGATGCTGGAAAATTTGGGGCATTGTTTTACAACTAAAATGACAATGGGTGCAGACAAAATTTTGCACCATATTGTGCTTCTCTAAAACATGATCCTTCAGGGCCATACCTTCGCTGCACTTAAAATCGCATAATGAACACTTAAAAGGGGTCAGTGATGAGTGAACCGCCCTAATATGTTCTCGGAGAACTTTCAGCATCTGGCACCGAAAACTACACTTGGGACAGCAGTACGTTTTATCGACATCGTGCACTTTCAAGTGATCGTTTAGATCCGTTTCAAGCAAACATTTAAAACTACACTTTGGACAGTACAATAAATTGGCGATGTCTTCGATCTCGATGTCTTTTAAACTGTAATCACTTTCATGATCCGATCCTTGGTCCCCTTCACCATCAGATTCTTCAATCTCGTCGAGAATTGGATTTTTAGATATTTTTGATAAAATCTAGAACAAAAATTTTTTTTAATTAAAAATCAAATGATATATAGTGAATATACCTACCTTATTTAAATCTAAATTTCCTCCATCTTGACCGCTGAACAAAACATTAGGTCCATCTTTGTTCTGCGGATTGCTGACGGGAATCAACGCCACTTCTGTGTTATCATGACTTCCACCAAGAATATATTTCAAAGCTGGAGATATGTAAGAAGCTTCTTTCAATAAGTTTTCAGCTTTCTCCCCCTCTTGAATATCTTTCTCCTGAAAAATCAATCAAAATATAATAATTTATTTATATTTATAATTACAATCAATGTATCACATTGAAATGTGAATTTGTTTTCCCATCATTTTCATTTTTCATTTTGGCAACACCGTTGACCTTTTCGTGCTGTTCGCTGTCATTAGCTTTTTCACCATCTTCGTCCGCTGGTTTGTCTTCTTCAAAATCCATTTTCTGAAACCCACATAAATTTATTTAAAAAAGCCATTAATATAATGTAGGTTTTATATTACATTTCTATTATTATTTATTGGTATTTTAATTTAATTATCATTATTTTAACTTTTCGAGGTTCAAGTTCCACTTTTTCATACTAATTTTTCATATCAACTTTCTCTTCATAATTTAGTAAGTATAATGTTAATTTAAATATTACAAACATTGGAATGGCTTAAAAACGCTAAAACAAACCTATTGATATATAATAAATTTAAAATTCACAAGATTACATATTTTAATATTTAGCCAGAGTAGAAAACCTTTTCAATTTCTTGAGGATGGCTTGTCTGCTCTCTAAAATTTAGAAGCCGAAGCATGAATGACGGTGGCGGCTGAGGCTGTCGGTAGGGAGAGCAGTCCTGGTTTAGTTGGGCGGTGGGGCGGGTCAAGAAGCACAAAGTAGGCATTGAGGGATGTGGATGGTGGTAAATACGACCATAAATACGACTTGTCTGCCACCACAGTGTTTTGTTTAACTTAAAGCTTCTCAACCTAATGGGGCCACCTTGCTGCAGCCGGCCAACCTTAAATTGATCTCAGTGATTGTGTGGGCGGGAATGTCAATAGAGAGTCGCACAGAGTTGGTGGTTCGTAGAGGGTCTTTGACGACCATTTGCTATGTGGATAAAATTTTGGAACATCATGGTTGCCTATCCTTGATGAAGTCAGCAACAATCCATTCTAATGTACGATAATGCCACATGTCGTTCGCATAGTACAACCGCATCTTCAAAAGCGTAACATCAGGGCCTTAGCCTGGCCAGCCCGTTCTCCAGACTAGAACCCCATCGGACATTTATGGGATAACCTCAAAAGATGAACAAGAGCACGTCCATCACTTCCTGGCACCCCAGGATCTTGAAAGGACTCTTCGTGAAGAATGTGCTAACCTCCAGCAAAGAGACATTTCCAGACTGTAAGAAAGTATGCTGAGGCATCTTCGAGATGTAATTAAGACAAGAGGAGGAAATACACAAAATTGAAATGTAAATTAAAAATCTAAAAAAAATTTTATCTGTCTTTTTTAATTTATTTTTCATTTTCCTTAGAAATTTGTACTTTTTTACGTTTTTAATCAGACTCAATTATTAAACGTTAAAAAACGTGAAACTGATTAATATATAAAAATATATACAAATCAAGCTATATTACAAGTGGGCGGAATTTTTTGTGTCGGTGTATATGGATTAATACAGTAAGTAATCTAAACAATTTTTGGATGAGTTTAGATCATAAAGAATTATTAACATTTATTATTTATTAATATAATGTGGTGTCATCATTCGATTATAAATAATTAATCTTTTAAAAAATATATTATTGTCTTTATTGTTTTGTATATTTTATTTGATTATTTTTGTATGTTTATAAAATTAATTTATTTCTAATGTATATGTAAGGGGGCTTAAAGCCCTATTTGTACCTTTGCAATAAATAAATAAATTATATACAATCAAAACCGGAAATTGATAGATGTTATATTTATCTAGTTAAACTGTATTTTTAAGAATACACAAGGATTTTTTTAAGCATTTAATCATTATTATTTTGTTCATTGTCGGTTAATTTAACAAAAAATAATAATTAAATTATTTTTGTTCTAAAATAATAGGTTCTTTAAATTAGAGAGGTAATTTGGTAAAATGAAAACTGGAATTTTTTTTATTACAACAAGAAAAACAACCCATAAAACCGTGTCACAGGAATACGCTTTCAATTAACCTGAACAAAGTTTACATTTACACTTTACAGACGTTGTTACGACTTCGAACTGCCTATTTGGTCAAATATCGCGTAGCGTTTTATTTACAGGCGGCAAAGGACCCAGAGGAATGGAATTGAACCTGAAGCAACCCGGTAACAACCTAGCAATCGGTGCCACAGACAAAAAGCCTCCTTGTAGAATGTAATTTAGGCGTTAGTACGTAAAAATACGAACCGAATAGAGCTAGAGCCAAACCCTGGGAGATGTTCTAATCTAAACTCCGCCAGCCATAGACACAAACCGCGAGGTACATTGTACAATGGCTGAGGTTCGATGTCGTAGTCCGTACTCGTCGAATCGGACAACCCTACCGGCAAGGCAAAAAGGCAACTCCCTTTGCCGGCATTTTTCAAAAAACCATACTTTTTAGTTAAAACTATCCTTCTGCCAAAGAAAATACACAAAAGTTCTAGAATTCCAAAGTATAAGTTGAAGTAGGACAGTCTTATAATCATTTTTCAAAAAAATAACCGTTCTTTTTAGTTAAAACCGTCCATCTACCAAAGAAAATAAAAAAATTTCTAGAATTCCAAAGTACAAGTTCAAGTAAGACAGTCTTACAATCGTTTTTTAAAAAACCGTTCTTTTTAGTTAAAACTGTCCTTCTACCAAAGAAAATACACAAAATTTCTAGAATTCCAAAGTATAAGTTGAAGTAGGACAGTCTTACAATCATTTAAAAAATAAAAAAAATAAAAAAAAACATTTTTTTTAGTTAAAACTGTCCTTCTACCAAAGAAAATACACAAAATTTCTAGAATTCCAAAGTATAAGTTGAAGTAGGACAGTCTTACAATCATTTAAAAAATAAAAAAAATAAAAAAAAACATTTTTTTTAGTTAAAACTGTCCTTCTACCAAAGAAAATACACAAAATTTCTAGAATTCCAAAGTATAAGTTGAAGTAGGACAGTCTTACAATCATTTAAAAAATAAAAAAAATAAAAAAAAACATTTTTTTTAGTTAAAACTGTCCTTCTACCAAAGAAAATACACAAAATTTCTAGAATTCCAAAGTATAAGTTGAAGTAGGACAGTCTTACAATCATTTAAAAAATAAAAAAAATAAAAAAAAACATTTTTTTTAGTTAAAACTGTCCTTCTACCAAAGAAAATACACAAAATTTCTAGAATTCCAAAGTATANATTGTATTTTTATATTTATCATTTATATTTACCATTTACATTATTACCATGTATATACGTCCTTATTCTTTTTATATATATTATTTGTATTTTTACATATATTATTTATATTTTTTTGTTATTGTAAAATGTCTTTTTTATAGTGGATTTCGATCTGTAAATAAATAAATAAATAAATACACTTGATTATTTGCTTGTCAAAATTCAACAAAAATTGACCAAGAAGTGGACAAATTTTATCATAAATCCAATCACATTTACTAAACGTCTTGCAGTAACTCTAAAGTTTGTATGAACATTAAATAAATGTAAAGCTGATGGATGATTAGATGATATCTAAAGCTATAAAAAAAATAGTTTATTATTCATTTTAATGAAACATTATTAAATAAAACATTCATGTAGTTCTGTTAAGAATATTTTTAATCTCACATTGTATCTAAAACTGTAGAACATTTCTCCAAAATCATTAGGTTTTCAAAAATACAGATTTTTGTAACTATTGTGGCTGGACGGAAGAGTGAGAGCAGCGAAATCAAACTTGGTCAATTTTGTCGTCTGCCCTTTGCTTTCTCTCTGCTCCACTCTGTCCGTACACAAATTCTGCTGAGAGGCTGACTTTTGTTACTTTTCAGATGCTAACTTTATTTGTTTCCAAAACATCATCTTGATTCATCGATATTAATATTGATCAAATATTGTCTAAAATATCCAAATACCAAATAGAATAAATTTAATTATTGCAAAAATGATTTCTTACATCATATCTGTTAACTATTTTCCATAAATTTACCTGCCGTCAATATTTATGCACAAGCCTAATGGGTATGAGTTATGGATAATTGGTTGAATTGTAAGCAAACTTATTCTAAACAAATGTGCAGACATTTTTGAATGATGAACATTTTTTGCTGTTAATAATTTACCTGAAGCATGATAAGAGAAAATAAATGCACAGATTTTTTACTCTTATTTTTTGGTTTGTTGACTTTTTATATTTCTTGGGTTTCTTTTCAGGAATGAGACAACCATCAAACTCATTTTCTTTTCAATAATACCAATAAAAAGAAAATGAGTTTGATGGTTGTCTAATTCCTGAAAAGAAAACCAAGAAATACAAATGCATAAATTTTTTATATTTCTCTCGAGACAGATAAGTACGATTTAGATGAAAATTCCAATTATTATATAAATCTAAATCGCAGTTTCATACAAGTGGGCTGTGTTCTATATAAATTCAAGTGTTCATTACAATTGAAATGAAAACTTTTATTTACTGTCGTCTGGATAGTAACACAATCAACAGTAATAATTGCTTGGAACAGAAAAATCTAATAAAATCTCTCGTATTTACACTTCGTCTCTTATCATTAGAAATGGAAACATTTGAAACATTCAATTTAGTAATGATAATGCCCTAAGCCTTGACCAAAGGTGTGTAGAAAAAAACGCAGAAAAAGGGAAAATGCAGAGTAGCACCGGCTATTACCATAGCTGTTTGCTGGCAAAAATAAATAAATACATTAAAAAATAAATAAATAAAGATAGACTAAGATTAGACATAGTCTAATATATTTAGTTTTATTTAGATTTTGCATTTTTCTCCTGAACGTAACAAAATGAATTGGCATATGATTTTAATTGTTAAAATTCAAAATGTATGAAAATTTAAGTTGTATTTCATAATATATTACGTATTTGATTGTCATATAGGATATTATAATAAAATAATAACAATAAAGCATTTATACAAAAGATAATCGTTAGGGTAAGTTTAAAAAATAGCTTTCTCAAAGTTAAATTAAAAAAAAAATATTTTACCCACTCACTTTCACACTTTTATTCACTCTTTCCTATTTTCATACCATTCATTCAATTTGGGTGGTGGAATACTTGATATTCATCCATCATTCTCTACACATATTATTTTATTGAGGGTCGATGTAGTACTCTACATTCATGCCGATAAATACATTTACTATCAGCAAACAATATCGGCACTATATACAATAAAGCAACACTAAACAGTACAGAAATGAGAACATGGGTTGCTGTGTTCAAGCACAGTGCTCATATTGTTTGGCATTTTTATATGCTCTCTATAAGGAGCCAAAGAATGGCACCATTTAATTAAATGGGACACATCGATCAACCTTTCTCTACAAGCTGAACACTTACATGGGCTTTGACCCAAAAGTAAGTGACTGTGTCACACTGATGTGGCCTATTCTTAACTTCTCCGAGTCAGATCCTCCAAGGGCCACCTATCGACTCTTGATATATAAGAGCTTTTTGGTAGCTTTCGTCTACCTTTTTGTTACCCCCTAGACCTAGGTGCCCGGGTACTAAGTCAGCAATCAACGTTTCGCCAAAATGCAATATTTGTAACATTGATCAGCCAATTTATACACTTTATTTGTCCAATAGCAACTCATTTCCTTGTGGATAATTTCCCTTAGAGTTTTCAAGGAGATTCCTTTTTGAAAAAACTTGTCAGTGATGAAGTGAAGGGAAAAAATGCAACAAAAAATTTATCTCTTCAAGTGGTAGAGTTTATGATGAAATTTGGAATATTAATACAGCATTTAACTTTTTTTTGTTTATTTTACTGCAATTAAACGATATGGCGTTGCATTTCTGGTATATATTAAATTGAAGTAAATTAACAAAAACGCAATATTGATCTTAAGAATTAAAAAAAAAACAAGCTGTTATGATAATGCTATTTGATGAGATTCAAAGTTAATAAAATACACAAAAACATTTTTGCAAATATTTTGATGTACATTGCAACAAAATTATTTTTAAGTAAAATAGAAAGTCTAACTTGACTAAACCATCCTCACTGGATTAATCTGTCAGACACATTTCCACATTTCGCCATCTTCAGTATTGGTTTTTGCATATAAAAAGTGCGATGCTGAAACTTCTCTGGCAGACAAAACCAAACCAGTATCACAATGCAGACCTTAACAAGAAATCTCACTATTTAAATAGTTTCATTTCTGACAAGTCTGATTATTTCTATTTTTGCCTAGATTAACTAACTTTTGACAATTTAATAAATGATAAACAATGCTGAATTGTACAAACATTCGATTTCATACAGCCTTGCTACCAAATCAGGTATGACTAAACGCATCTGTCTTGATAAAGTAGTTTCTCTGAACACATATTTTTTTTTTTTTTAAATAGAAGTCCACTATCTTTGTAAGAATTATCTAGTTTTTATGAGTCAGACAATAAATAAAACCATAATAGTAATTATAATTGGTATTTATTTGTATTTTCTTTGAGTGCTATTCAGTCGCACTTTCTTTATTCTTTTCTTTAAAATCCCAGACCTGAACAAATGCAATAAAATGTCTAGTAATTTATTTTGTTTTCTTATGAATTACAAGTTAAACAAGTAATTGTAATCTAGAAAGAAAAAAATTATAATAAAATAAGCTAAAACATGCGAATTAGATCGACTTTTAAACAATGTATTGTTGTATTAATAAAATTTATCAAAAAAATTTTCTAGCTAATCATGAATAATCAGGATTTACATTTATCTCATTTCATCAATCCTTATGTCACTTGAATTATCTGACTTTTGACTAATGAATAAATGATAAATCGTTGTGTTTGTGCAACCAATTGTTCAAAAAAACACGTATTTCTTTGTTTGCCAATTTTCATCTGTAAACCTATACAAAATAAATACTGGAAACAAATTATGAAAAAGTAAGTCGTCCCAAGATATAAAGTAACTTTCTCTATTATAATGCACAAATAGGAAAATCCTACTTAGATATTTGTCATATTTGAAAGACAGTACAACTTTTGCAATGTTATAACTCATTTATTAAGAAGTATTTGTTCTTCTAAAACTAAATAAAAATTTATGTTTATCTATTATTTATTATATGTTATGGACATTTTGTACCATAATTATTTCTCATAATTAGGGCATAATTATTACACTTCTAGTATATAATATAAATGCATGTTTTTTCTTCTTTTTTTTTTTAAATTAAGTCCTGCTAACAAATCAAGTTTAATAAGACATAATTTATATGTAATATATAAATATATAAATGCATTGATATATCTTCTTTTTTTTAAATTAAGTCCTGCTAACAAATCAAGTTTAATAAGACATAATTTATATGTAATATATAAATATATAAATGCATTGATATATCTTCTTTTTTTTAAATTAAGTCCTGCTAACAAATCAAGTTTAATAAGACAATTTGTTTATTTGAGCAGTTTTGTGGATGAATTAAAACAAAATATGAATAGATCTTAGAAATGAAGGATATACAATTGGAAAATCTAAAGTTAAAAGTAGGACTTTTGCAGTGTAATAAATTATTTATTAAGGGGTCCCTCTAGGTAAAATAAATAAAACAAAGGTTTATATTTATCTCCTTATGTTTATAAAATATATAAATGCATGGATATATCTTCTTTTTTTTTAAATTAAGTCCTGCTAACAAATCAAGTTTAATAAGACATAATTTGTTTATTTGAGCAGTTTTGTTGATAAAGGAGAAAAAATTAGAAATAAAGGAAATACAATTGGAAAATCTAAAGTTAAAAGTAGGGCTTTTGCAGTGAAATAAATTATTTATTAAGGGGTCCCTCTAGGTCTAATAAATAAAACAAAGGTTTATGTTTATCTCCTTATAGAATGATGAGAGGACATTTTGTACCATAATTATTTCATATAATTAGGACATAATTATTACACTTCCAGTATATAATATAAAATGCATGGATATATCTTTTTTTAATTAACTCCTGCTACCAAATCAAGTTTAATAAAACATATTTTTTTTGCCCATTTTTGTGGCTGAATTAAATCATAATATGAATAGGTCTTAGAAATATAGGATATATAATAAGAAAATCAGGTCGTCTTATTTTATCGTAAATTAAGCCCTACCACCAAATCAAGTTTAACAAGATACATTCTCTTTGTTTTTACGTTTTTGTGGATAAATCAAAACAAAATATAGGAAAAATCTTAAGGATATCTACATTACAATTATTTACTGTCTGCCATTTTATAAAGAGTAGAACTTTTGCAATGTAATAAATTTATTAAGGGGTCCCTCTAGGTCTATAAAATAAAATAAAAGTTTTAAGGTAGGATAACACAAGGATATTTTATATAAATTAAGCCCTACCACCAAATCAAGTTTAACAAGATACATCCTCTTTGTTTTTACGTTTTTGTGGATAAATCGAAACAAAATATAGGAAAAATCTTAAGGATATCTACATTAAAATTATTTACTGTCTGCCATTTTATAAAGAGTAGAACTTTTGCAGTGTAATCAATTTATTAAGGGGTCACTCTAGGTCTATAAAATAAAATAAAGGTTTTTTTAACCTCCTTACTGCATGACACAAGGAAATTTTTATAAAATAAGTCCTAACACAAAATTAAGTTTAATTTTGTTTGCCCGTTTTAGTGGATAAATTGAAACAAAATCTGGGAAAACCGTAAAAAAATAAATAAATCGATCTAGAACGATTTACCTAAGAAATCAAATCGTGTTTGCCATTTTGTAAAGATTCAAGATTTGGCGCTTTAAATATTATAAACTCTTTATTTTGTTATAAGAAAATCTAAAAGTAGAACACGCATTATCTGATCTGTAACTCAAATATTTATCTTACACTTAATTTCTGTAAATCAAATCTGTTTTTAATCAATATTGAATGCTAAAGAACCCAACAATCGGGGCATCTCAAATACTTTCAAAATACGCATTAAACGTGTTTTTTTCCCTGGAATATATATTTTTACTCTATGGAGAGTGTATCAATCCGTTACGAATCTTTCTACAGGTTTGTCAAGTTTATGAAAATATTTCCTATGGAAATTGCCATTAGGGTGGTTAGCCACTTATTAATATTTGATTTTCGAGTGCCGACAATCAAGATAATTTGTCAGATCACACAAATGAAAACGTCGAGTCAATCTCCGTTCTATTGACAGGGGCAGGGCAATAATCTAATCATTGTGGGAACTACGACCTTTTAATAATCTGCGGTTAGCACTAGTCGCTCAGTCAGGTCCAGTCTGCTAGTCGGCGATGGTTCGGACGTTGCTTATTACTTTGTGTGCAGTCGGTAAGTATTCGATTTACACGATATTTTATATTTTAACCGTTTAATTGATTATAAAATCAAATTATAAAGTAAAATGACATTTTTTTTTCTGTGTTAAATCTCTTTTATGACGCAAAACGAGATCCATTTTGAAACAGATATTTTATATTGTTGACAATATTAAACATTCAAAATTACGACTTATTGTTATAAATATTAACAATTTTAATTAAAATTAGCAAGCTTTTGATAAGAGTTCAAATTTTACAGCTGAATTTTTTGAGATTCCAGAGAAAATGTTTTGTTTAAAAAAATCTGATTAATTACATTTACAATTTATTGTATTTTGGTATATTTTTGATCTATCTAGTTTCCTCCTAGGTCCTTTTTTATCCTTAATGAGAGTTTAGTTGAAAAAAACAAAAAAAAAACAATCGTTTAAACATGGTAAAATTGTCTTTTTTGTCAATACAATTTTATTTTTGTAAACAAATTTAATTTATTAACAAATTTAAAAAGTTTCCTCAACATTAATTATCTTGAGGATCAATTTTTCAAATAATAGTAAAAGTTAATAATTTAATTACATGCGATCTGCGAAATGATGAACCCATAATTTAGTCGATCATTTCAGTCTATCCTTTCTGTGTTTGGTCCATCACATCAAAATGATCAGTGATGACTAAATTAGTTCTTTTATTTGCTATAATTTATATTAGGTTCCAATAATGATTCTTCTTCCACATCAATTTTTACTATCACTGTATACTCATGTTTTATGTTTTCATAGATGATGTAAAAAATTAAATAATTTTCATTGAATTAATACAATTTTATTTTTGTAAACAAATTTAATTTATTAACAAATTTAAAAAGTTTCCTCAACATTAATTATCTTGAGGATCAGTTTTTCAAATAATAGTAAAAGTTAATAATTTAATTAACATAATAGTAACTAATGTGTTTGTTTCTTTTAACCCTGGAAAGACTGAGATAAAATTAAAAAAAAAATAAACTGATTAGTTTAAATAAATATAAATACTTTGTTATCAAAAATAACCTAATGGTATTTCTAATCGCCAGCTTTAAATTGACATTATAAAAATTGAAAAACTATGTTTCCACTTGAAAAATGATCAGCGTTATCAGTTACTTTACATTAATTACATTTACAATTTATTGTATTTTGATCTATCTAGTTTCCTCCTAGGTCCTTTTTTACCCTTAATGAGAGTTTAGTTGAAAAAAGAAAAATCATTTAAACATGGTAAAATTTTCTTGTTTTTGTGAGATTTCTAAGTGTGATCTGTGAGATGATGAACCCATAATTTAGTCGATCATTTCAGTCTATCCTTTCAGTGTTGGTCCATCACACCAAAATGATCAGTGATGACTAAATTAGTTCTTTTATTTGCTATAATTTATATTAGGTTCCAATAATGATTCTTCTTCCACATCAATTTTTACTATCACTGTATACTCATGTTTTATGTTTTCATAGATGATGCAAAAATTAAATAATTTCCATTGAATTAATACAATTTTATTTTTGTAAACAAATTTAATTTATTAGCAAATTTAAAAAGTTTCCTCAACATTAATTATCTTGAGGATCAGTTTTTCAAATAACAGTAAAAAATAATAATTTAATTAACATAATAGTAACTAATGTGTTTGTTTCTTTTAACCCTGAAAGACTGAGATAAAATTTAAAAAATACACTGATTACTTTAAATAAATATGAATACTTTGTTATCAAAAATGACCTAATGGTATTTCTAATCGTCTTTAAATTGACATTCTAAAAATTGAAAAACTATGTTTCCACTTGAAAAATGATCAGCGTTATCAGTTACTTTACAAATTGTTCATCATTAATAGTATTTATTAAAGATTAACAAGAATATTTATTAATTTTTGTTTGCCATCGTCTGAAGTTGCGTTATTAAGCCAATATTTTATTTTGTTAAATTTGTATGTTTTTAATTGATATATCTTAATCTAGCGTGATTGCGATCTCATCTTATAAATTATCAAATTATCTTGTTGATTACTACTTTCTTTCTATTTTAAAATCTCCATGATATAATATTTGAGGGGAAGCAATAATGAAAATCACATTAGCAGTTTATTTAAATATCTATCTTTCTTTTCAAACAAATCAAACATATATTTCCTTAATTGTTGATTTTATTTGTTTATACTTTTAAATCCTAAAAATAGTTTTCCTGAATAAACAAGTATATTGATCTCATTTTCTCAATGTTTTGTAAGCTCAGGAAGAATCCCAATTTTAATGCTGAATACTCAGAAAAGACGGTTAGAAAGAAATCTGCTCACAAGTTAAATTTTCTCATTCAATAAGCAAAATATTGTGTAAATAAGGGATTCTAGATTTTTAATGATAATACAAGTTTAATTATAAACCTTTCCGTTTAGAAAGAAAATAAAGTGGCTTTCAGATAAATATTTTTTATTAATTAAATTTGTATTCATACTAAAATATCCACCTAATCTTTTTTTTTTTTTTAATGAACTTTACAAAACTAATTTTATTTTAGTGGGAGTGTTCGGTGGTTGCCACCACAGAAATGGACCTCCTACATGGAGTAAATCCTATACAGTTAGAGGATACCTTTCTATTCCTTATGCTGAATTAAAAGAAGACTTTCTCGCTTGGTTTGATGCCTCTTCTGGTTCATCGAGGGTTGATTATTATGGAGGTATAACAATATTGAATTAAATTTAATATTTATAAAAAACAAAATAAATGTTAAAAGGGATGGTCAAAACTTACCAACTAAGCAATAAGGGCTCATTCGGATCGATGTTGAAGATTGCACCTGTGACAACTGAAACTCAACTGAATGTACCGACTTGCCTTCAAGTGAATGGTACAAAAGATGAGAAAGTTAAACCACAAGATATGTTACCTGACTTGACAAATTTCCAGGTAGAATATATATTTTTTTAATAAAAAGTTTATTATAATCCATATATGCTTCAGGTCATAATCGACCGTATTAATTATTCTTAATATCTACGGTCTTGGACGAGATGAAAAAGTTAGTGTCAAGGGCGGGATTCGAACCCATGTCCTTTGGCTCAATACGCCGTAGCTGTAACCACTTGAGCTATTGTTACCAACTCTCATCTCAACCTACAAACTTTCAAATTTTCCCTCTTTTTGCCATTTTTCACAAAATGTTTACACTTGTGCCTAATTTTTTAAATTTAACTAAAAATCATCCTGCATTTCTAGTGTTCTGGAACTGAAGTTGTAAATGGCGTAGAATGTGAAAAATGGACGTTGAAAGAACAAGTCGGTGAAAAAATGAATATGTACACGATGTGGCTTCGCTGGAAGGTAATAAAAAAAAGTGTCATTTATATCTTTGAAAATTACTAATCAAAATAATTTCAGAAATCGCCTAAATCACCGAAGTTGGCTAGGGCTGTACCCGTCCAATATGAAATGAAAGGCTACAACACACTACTGGGATCTCATTATGATCATTACTACCTTCAATATGACATGTTTTCTTTTGATGTCCCAAGTCTTGATGTGTTCAAAATTAATGACAGTGAGTTTTTAAAAAGGATGAAATGTATACAAAAAAAAATTGCATAATAATTTACAGACATGACGTGCACACACTTCCCTGGACCTGGCATCAAACATTTGGCCACCTTCAACCCCATGAAAGAATTTATTCACAATGAAGATAGACATATTGACCATGCATGGACCAACTTCAAAGACTCCATGATGAAGACTTATGACAATGATACAGAGCACGATAGGAGGAAGATTGTATTTAAGCATAACTTTAGGTATGAATGTAATATTGATTAAATAATTTTTTTTACTTTATATTCTATTACAAAACCTTAAACTGAATAATTTTTTTTTCAGATTTATTAATACAGTAAATAGGGCAAACCGTGGCTACCAACTTGCCATCAATCATTTGGCTGACAAGACTGATGATGAAATTCAAGCTCTTCGTGGTAAACTAAGGTTTGCTAAAAATTAAACCGAAATTTCATATATCAGCCATTTAAATGTAAACTTTTAAGGTCTACTAATCCAGTACATAACGGAGGACAAAAATTCCCTTATTCTAAAGAAGAAATTAAACATATTTTGAAGGATGCCCCTGATAACTTTGACTGGAGGTTGTACGGAGCTGTTACCCCTGTAAAAGGTATCATTGTTGTATTTTATTTAGGAGAATGTACATTAAAACGATATTTCTCCTTTTTTAGATCAATCAGTTTGCGGAAGCTGCTGGAGCTTTGGAACAACGGGAACAATCGAAGGAGCATATTTTCTCAAAACTGGCCACTTAGTACGACTCTCCCAGCAAGTAAGAAGAATACAAAATTAGCAATAATTACAATTCATGGTTTATAAAATTGAGTATGTTTTTTTAGGCACTAATTGACTGTTCATGGGGATTTGGTAACAATGGTTGTGATGGAGGTGAAGATTTCAGAAGTTACCAGTGGATGATGAAGCATGGAGGTCTGCCGCTTGAATCTGACTATGGCAACTATCTCGGCCAAGTAAATAAAGTTAAACGTTAAGCTGTAGTGTATTATTAAATCACTTTATTTATTTTACAGGATGGAAACTGTCATGTAGATAAAACACCTTTAACTGCCAAAATCACCGGCTTTGTAAACGTAAAGAATAATGATGAGGATGCACTCAAAGTTGCTCTTTTCAAACACGGGCCAATTTCAGTCGCTATTGATGCTGCGCACAAAACATTTTCATTTTATTCAAATGGAGTCTACTATGAGCCAGAATGCAGTATGAGATTAATTATCTATCACCCACCTACTACAATTATTTTACCAAATCATTTTAATTTTCAGAAAATACTCCTGAAGGCCTTGACCATTCTGTATTAGCTGTAGGCTATGGAACTTTGAATGGAAAGAAATACTGGCTAGTCAAGAACTCATGGTCCAATCTCTGGGGCAATGACGGATATGTACTTATGTCAACTAAAGACAACAACTGCGGTGTTATGACAACGCCGACCTACGTTACAATGTAAATGCTGACATTTTGTGATTTTATTGTATTACCATTTTTAAATATGTTTTAGAAGCTTATGAAATAAAATTGTCTTTTTTTTCACCTTAATTCTTGTCATTTCACACCACACCATTTATTCATAATTTATCAATTTAAAGTTCTTTATACCTATGCATTTATTTATTTACGGATCGAAATCCACTATAAAAAAGACATTTTACAATAACAAAAACTATAAATAATATATGTAAAAATACAAATAATATATATAAAAAAAATAAGGATGTATGTACATGGTAATAATATAAATGATAAATATAAAAATACAATTAAAGAGTAAAAACTGAACAACAAAAATGAAAGACATAATTACTAACCAAATAAGGCAGAGGAAACAAAATGAAGCTGAAAGACAATTGAAAGTACAATAATTAGGTACATATTTAATGAAAATAATGCTCTTTGTAAATATATAATAAGACTAGAGTGCGAGAATTAGTTGAACCAGTAAATGAAATAAATTGTAATAATTTTGTACAGTATGAAATATAAAAGCATTCAACTAAGGTTGTAGGATAAGGTTTTTCACAGATTGCTCAGAACTATTGAAGAAGTCAATGCTATTGCAGATTTTGTTACTCTTGATCATCATTCTGTGTAGAGGAGAAGAGAGCATGTAGTTAGAGCTTTGGAATTCAATATAAAATAATTTATAGGTTTTAAGAGAGTACGAAGGGACATGTAGCTGTAGTTGAGAGAGGAGATAAGGACTATCAATGAGATTGTTTAATAATTTAAATACAAAAACAATATCAAAGTAATCCCTTCTTAGTGCCAGTTCGAAAAGTTTAAATTCAGAGCGGATTCCAGGGTAGGCAGAATTCAGAGGAAGATTGAGTTTGTAGGAAAGTTTTTTTAAAAATTTGTTTTGTACAGATTGAAGAATTTTTTGATAATTTAGATAGAATGGGTTCCAAACAGGTGTAGCATATTCTAGTATGGGTTGTACAAAAGCTTTATAAAGATGGACAAAACATAGAGGATTTTTAAATTCATAGGTGTCCCGGATGATGAAACCTAGCAAGAGCATCTTCATAGATCTATTTTTTATTGAAGAAATATGTTCTTTAAACTTGAGCTTTTGATCAAAAAGTACACCAAGATCCTTTACGACCTCAACTCGCGTTAAAAGAGCATCATGGAGAGTATAGAGATAAATTAAAGGGTTGTTTCTTATGATAGAATGTAATTGTGTAGCATTTGGAAACATTAAGAGCAAGTTTGTTATTGGAGCACCAGGTTAGCACGTTATTGATAGAATTTTGTAACTGTAAGCAATCGGAAGGAGAAGTGATTATGGAATAGATTTTCAGATCATCAGCAAATAAAAATTGAGCAGAAGGGAGAGCAAGATGGATATCATTAATAAATAAGAGAAACAAAACTGGTCCAAGATGAGAATATGTAATTGTATAGTTTGGTTGTATGCAATCATCTAAAATTATTTTTATCAAAAAGATTTTTGTTTGCCTAGAAAATTATGTTTTATAGTTATAAATTACGATTTAACCCGGTTTATGAGGTTTAAACACTAATAAAACATTACTCATTGTATGAAGTAAAGTTTCTGACTCGTTTGTTCAGTGTGATACTTGATTTTGAACTGGCCAATGCTTGTCTATGCTTTACTATGTTTAAATTGGTCAATTTTTTGAACTAAAAAAAATTATTTGGTGTTTACATGTTTCAAAACACATGGAGAAAAAGAAATTCAAAAACTTTCTAAATAAACAGGAGATACTCTTTTTCGAAATTAATGTTTAAAATTTCTTTTTCAAGATGCAAAATTTCAGTTAAAGACATGCTTAGTTGAACCTTATACCTACTTTTAGAACAGGATAGTCTGTTCTATCTAAAAGTTTTAAAACCTGGGAAAGTCAAAATAAAATAAATCAAGATGAGTGAAGAGATTATGAACTTGTCGGTCTTCGATACCCTGTGTATCAAGAAGCCGACAAAGTTGAGTAACATACTGGAGAGTACGCCGAAGCCTCCTTTTTTTATCGAAGCAGATGATGTCCCGCCTTTGTTGAAGTCGAGGCGTTTAGATGAAAAAATACCTCTAATACCAATCCCCTTGCGATATAAAACAGCCTACACAAGGGGACATCTTGGGGAGCCGGTAAATCCATAAAAGTGGAAATGTATTTAAGAAATTTCATATTTTTAATTGATAGGCTGTTGGACAAATTGATGTGAGTGACATGGTCATCGATGACCCCTACAACTATGAAATGGAAAGGAAATACGAAGAAGTGCATGATCCAGCACTCAAAGATTTCTTTAACAAACCTGAAAACATCAAACGACTCAAGGATCTTAAGATAATAAACAATGAGCATGAAATTTTGTGTTCGCTCAAGGATTATAACAACTTCAGGAGATACTTGCATAGGAAAAACATCCCCTTTGTTAAAGATTTCATAAATAGAGAGGCAAGTCATTTACAAATATTTACTTATTTAAAAGTAATAAAAAAGTTAGTGTAACGTAAAAATACAAAAAAATTATGATTGTTTCAAATGAAGTGCAACATCTACTTTAATTGTACTCAGTGTTTTATTTCAAATCAAAATTAAGATTTAATAATATTTATGCAAAGGTGATTCTAATTATTGCATCTCTACTGCTAGCTTATAAAGGGAGAATTATTTATAAATAAGATTATTTTTCTCAATATTTAGAGAAGTATTGCATTAAGATAATGAGCATTAATTTAAATAATGTAAATCCAAATGAAAGTATGGAATTTAAAGCAAAGTTTCTGTTTCTGAAATGAATGTAGGTATGCGACAAAAAAGAGAAAAGAAGATTCAGTCAATTTATAAGGAATTCCAAAGTCGCCTACCATTCTGCAAAAAGGGCCGACCGTGTCAGGACGGCTAAGTCCGAAGCGGATGCCAAGAAGTACCAATTAAGCGAAATGAATCCAAGGTGAAATTTCACTCATGAAAAAAAAACAAAAAAAAAACAATAAATTATAAAAATAATTGTTTATATTCCACTTGATTCTAGGTGTAAATCAAGACTTGAGAGAATGGTTGTCGCCAACGTTTTTCACAACAAAATGATGGAATACAAGCAAGAAGAGCTCAGAAGGAAGGGCAGACTTTACAAGGAAAAAATGAAAACCTATTTCCAACAGTATGAACAGACGACTAGAAGATATAAAATTGACTATTACAAAAAGTGTAAAGTATTAGATGAACAAGTTTCCAAAAGGATTCAGACAATAAAGGAAAAGAGACAAGCAGCTAGGTTACGTTATGTGAGTGTTTTGCCAAAAAAAATAAAATAATAATAATAATAATAATTTAGTGTTTCATGATGTTCTGGATGAAAGCTCAAAAGCAATGCTGGGAACTTAGAATCATTGAAAAAAATGCAAAGTTTTTGTTTAAGCATTTATTTCATCAGTACTTGCTGTATCATAAATTTTATTATACAAGTACTTATGTACCACTTCGGCAATAAAATGAATATCTATCAATAACAATGTTCATCCGTGCTTAAAAATAAAATCTTTTCCTTCTTAGAAACTTAAATTAAAAAGAAAAGAAAAAATATTTTGATTGTGTTTTCTACATTTTTCAGAATGACAAAAGATGGACGGCACGAAGAGAACAGCAGATTGCTTTGATTAAGCAAAATGCTTTTCATTTAAAACAATATAAGCGCTATTTTGAAACAATGAGTCTGAGGAGGAAGTGGGGATTTAATGAAGCTCTGTTTGATTTAAATGGTAAATAAAATTTGTAATAGGACTTTAAATGTTTAAATATGTAAAACAAAAATTTATGCAATATAAAAATAGTAGAGTTTAATAATTACTTAAAAATTGAATTACAGAACTTGAAGATTTATCAGAAGAAGATATAGAAGTGACTGAGAGCAAGGAGAAGTTACACGCAGAACTTAAATACTCAGATGAATTCAAACAAGCGCTAAACGGTGGAAAATTTCATGTATGAATGACAATCAGTTTTATCAGCCTCTAGAATTCTACATATATGTAACTGATTGTATAATTGTACAAAAAAATCATAAATATTATCATGAATTTGTTATGGAAAAAACATAAATCAGCCATCTCATGAAATATTAACACATCAGTGCCCACAATGTAGGCTTTGAAATACATATGTATACTTCAATGTTTAGAAATTCGTGTATATCGAGCTTTTGATATTGTTGATCATACGATACTACTACAGAAATTACAAAAATTAGGCATACATGGTAACTTCTTACGTTGGTTTGCATTTTATTTAAAAGATCAAATGGTTAAAGGTAAAATTAAAATCGGTATTGTCACAATTTTCCAGCAACTTCTGGAATTCTTCAAGGGCCGCACCTAGGGCCTTTTCTTTTTAAAATCTATATACATTATCTCTGATTCTCTTCCAATCATTATGACCGTACTTTTTGCAGATGATTTAAAAATATTCTTGAAATTAATTCTGTTTCTGACTGTTTACAACTTCAACATGTCTTACTAAAACTTATTCTTAATTCATATTTCAAATTGTTTCAATTCCTTTAAAAAAAAATTATTATAAACATTTCTAAATTTATGTTCAGTAGCCTTTATACTTTTATTGTATATATTTATAATTGGGAAACCATAAAATAAATAAATAAATGTCATTTAAGATATGATTGTTACACTTTTATTTTTAGATCGTTCAGTTGCCTGAGAGTAAGTACAAAGCTTCAAAGGCTCTTAGAAAGTACATAAGGCGTAAGTAAATAAGCAGTAATACATATATTAAAAATAATAAAAAATTAAGTTTAAAGTTGCAATTTTATTTTCCAGAGGAGGAAACGCCTTTGGACAGAATGTTGAAAAAGACCGTGCCTGTATGTAACACTCAACTTTTTATTTAGCGAGCATTAATCAAAATCATCTTTTTGCAGCGTGCAGTCAAAGAGGCAGTGTCACTAACATTCAGGAGAGCCGTCTTTTTGTACGCGTTTAAAGAGTTCTATCAAAATATGCTTGAGAGCGTCGAGGAAGCAGAAGCGGTAAGAGATTAATAATTTAATTAGTTAAAAACAAAGAAACAAAGCAAAATAAAAATTAAAAGAGTCGATATAGTTACGACTAGCAGGATAGTAATGATAGTCTATATTCAAATTCTTTAATTTTTCTTATTTTTAGACCTTTTTTGAAGCTGGATAAAGAAAAATAAAATATAAAAAAAATTCAGCATCCTAGGCTATTTTCATAGTTTATTTCTATAAATTATTTTATTTTTCATTAAATTGCCATTGAAATTTTTATTTTTATTGGCAATTTAATGTAAAATTAAAATATTTTCAAGAAATACTTATGTACTTTAACATATATTTGAAAATTTCTTTATCCACCATCACAAAAAAAAAGCCTATAATATTAAATCATCATAAAAACAAAAAAAGTAGAATAAATAATAACCTCTTATGAGAGAGAATAAAAATTTTATTTCTTCCACTTAAATGAAATTCAATTTAATTATTAAAACTTTCCTTTATAAATTGATTATTATTTATTATGTCTAAAAGAATTAAACTACACCATTAAAATGATCAAAATGACTTAAATGCACTTTTATTTATTTCAGAGTGCTCTTAAAATCAGAGGAAAACCTGATTTAAGGCGTGTCTTGATAGACGAATTTGCTAAATTTGGCCCAAGATCAAACATTCCGATGGCATCAATCGAAAGAAGCCTTTGTCTTAGATTTGACGAAGAAGGTAAACCAGTTAAATACCCTTGTGTCCAGTGTTGTGAAAAAGGAGGCGTATGCTGTATACCGGCCAAAAGGTACAAACCGAAAAGGAGATTGGCAAGCTGTTTCTATTACAACTGTCCTCTTTGTGAGCCCGAGCTGTGCTTAAAAAAATCAAAATCAAAGGCTGAAAAAAAATCGAAGGCTGCAGTAGATTCTAAAATGTCTGAAACGGTTGAGAAGGCGTCAGAGGAAAGTACACAAGTGGTCCCGACGCAAGTCACTAAGGTAGATGAAAATCCTGAACAAGACCAGTCTGCTGACAGTGTTGTTGCTCATCAGAAAGAAAGTGCTTTTGAAGTACAAGCTTCAACTGTCCAACAACAGCCTATGGATGATGCTGTAAAACCGAAAGTTAAAGAACACTCAAAAAAACATAGGCGCAAGACTAAAACGGTTCATTCGAATGAAAAACTTGACAGTAAACAAACATCTGAAGCTTCGTCAAAGAAGGTGGACAAATTACACTTTAAAAGAATATCTCACAAGTCAGAAGAAAATATGTTCAAGTCTGATGTTCAGGTTACACACGAAGTTGAAAGTTCACATAAAATAACAAAAAAGAAGAAGACTTCGAAAAAATCATCAAAAGCATCGAAAAAATCATCAAAAGCATCAAAAAAATCTAAAAAATCAACTAAAACGGTTGTGAAGAAAGGTAAGAAAGATGGTAAGAGAAAGACTAAAACAGTCAAGCTCTTAAAAATGGAACAACCAAATACCTTTTCACAGTTCTCTTCAAATATTTCAATATCTAACATTCAGGTTGGACATGTTTTAAACAATTCACCAAAGAAGCTTGAAGCACCTCATCTTTTGAAAATTGAAAATACACAAAATCAAAAATCTTCTAGAAGTTTTGAAAAGAGAGAGGATAAATTAAATTTCACATTGAAAATTTTAGATGATGAAGATGAAGAAACATTAGATAAATCAGAGACGACCACAAAAACAAAATGTAAATTCAAATCTACAAATAAAATTGATACAACAAAAAAATATAAACCAGAGCCCAAACTGAATGATGATGATGATGACGACGATTCATTCTATGCAAAACGTACACTTTACAATTATAGTAAATTGTCTGATTTAAACAAAGTAATGCAGTATAGTCCTTTACTCAGATCTCCAAAAATACCAAAATATAAAGAAAGTAAAGAAACAGATGATACACAAAGTTATAGATTCCATTGTATTCTTCCAGTAGTACCTTCAGATGAGAGTATAACATTATCAAATCAACCCAGTAAATCATTGAAGTTGGATAAACAAAAGACCAGTGAGGTAAAACAAACCCCAAATAGCCATAACACCAAAATAAATAAAAATAAGGTCGTGTCTAAAAAACAAAGTAAAAAAAATGAGATTGATGCAAGCAACATATCGACAGAAAAACATAAAAAAGAAAAACATGCACTGAGTAATTCTGAGTATTACAATTCTTTCTTTGGTGACAAAACCTCAAATACAGACGGAGAGAGTTTTTTCGAAACTGACATGGAAGAGTCTGAAATTTTCACTACAAGGTCGAGCCGACCTGCTAGTAATTGTTTTAATATGGGCCAAGGTGACTGCTCGAGTCTAAACGCGGAGAACGATCAGTCGGAAGGAATGGGGAATCTTGTAGGAAAATTGCGTTTAAAAAGTTTAAACTTTCCCTTAGACAAACGAAGAATATGGTATATACCAACAGGTGATTCCGCCCACTACGCTACTCTAAAAGGCAACGTGGTCAAGTTCTTCTGTATTAACAACAACTGCAATAGATGTTCTCAGCATTTTGGATCACCCATAATTGATGTACCAAAACCTACATACATCCCTATCAAGTATGAAACATCAAATGTCTGTATCAGGAAACTTAAAAAAAAATATCAACACATGCACAAAATAGAAACTTCTCTTAGTGACGATTATACATCCAAGACTGCTTGTCTCTATGACCTACAAGGTTTTCCTGATGTTGCCAGTGCAGAGAGAGGAGTGCAATGCAGTGATGGTTTGTTACAAAAGGAAGCTCAGCTTTACACAAAAGGAACAACCTATAACAAACATAAAACAAGCACCATAACGTTAACACGTTCGAGCAAACCCTCTAAGGGGAATAAACCTAATAAAATGCAAGAACACGCAAATGTAAAATTTTCACAACCGGTTAAAAATGAAACCTCAAAAGGAAAAATAATTCAAAATGATAGTGATATAAAAATAAAAACTACCTTCAAAGTACGTTCAGATATTGCTGAAAAACCATCAAAAGTAATGCCTTCTTCAGCAGCCAAAGCACAATCTAAACCAGGCACTAAAACACTAAAGCAGGAGAGTAGTGCATATGAATCACAGAGTAAAGGTAAAGCCAGTTCAAAGCATCAGCCACCTTTAACATCTGGTTCTAAAATTCCTCTCAAGATTAAAAGTGTTAGTCCCCTTAATGCCCAACAGTCTAAACACACTGATGTCAGAAAAATGGGAGATCCGAAAGGAACTCCTACTTCTATAAGAAAAGGTGGTGTCACCAGTGTTGAGTCTATGAAAGGAAAGAAACCCGAACAAATTGGATCGAATCAATCTCTAAAAAAGAAAACACTCGACAATGTAGAATCAGGTATTCAACAAATTAACAAAAATGCAAAAAAATTACTTTCAAACAATGATCCATCTAGAGAAACTCTGGGAAAGCAAACTCCCACGGAAACAGTGTCCAAAACAACCATTAAAAAAGGTTCTAAAAAAGATAAAAATGCATCAAAAGGGAAAGGAAAATTGAAAAAAAAGAAAAAAGTTGAGAAAAACAGGATATCAATCTCACCATTTGAAAGCCCGGTCAAAGAGCTACCACCTCAAGTAAGAAGGATTATACCTAAGAAAAAAGAAATACCAAAAGATATGGTCATGGATGAGGAAGAATCTGGATTAGATGAAGAAAAGAAAGTAAAAGAGAAAAAATATTACTGTCCGGCTTGTGACCCAGAAGAGGAGTCTAAAAGAAAACGGATTATTTTACTGTCAGACGGTTGTAGTAAAGAGTACCTTTTTAGACATGATGAGGAGAAAAAAGGGCTGAGTAAAGCATCCATCCATAAAGATTCCTTATATAGTAGTAAGCCAAAATCCAAAAAAAAGGATGTTAGACCATCTTTGCCATCATTTGGTTCAAATATATTAAATTCAGGCAAAAAGCTATTAAAGGAAAGGGAAAAAGCAACTGAAAAACAGAATAGGGACAAAAAACTCACTCCTGCTAACCAACAAAAAATATCAGATGAAGAAGAAAGTGAATCCACATCATCTTCTAGTGAAACATCATCTTCGTCTTCAAGTGATTCAGACCAAGAGGTTAGGCATACTTGTAAGTGCAATAGAGAAGTATGCAGGCGACTATACAAAAAGTATGGAAAATGTATAGCTCCTAGACAAATAAGTGATAAAAAGATGATTCCATCAGAATTTCAAGAATATTCTGAAATATCAGAACTGACCCACAAGTCAAAAGTCTCAATTAGTAGTAAGGCAGAACAGAAAGATTTTATAACACTCATGGAAAAGCCTCAACCGTGGAAAGCAACGCAAAATAGCATTACAAATCCAATTATGAAAGGTGAAAAACCAACTCAGAGAGAAACGAATGAAGTGTTTAAGACATCAGAAAAATACAAAAAAATGCGAGAGGGTTTTTTACCTGTTTATTTCTATGACAAAGATGGTCGAAAATACAGTGTTGACAGTTCAGGGAAAACGTACCATTTAACTAGTGAAGGACATCTTCTGCCAGAAAATGTTGAACTTAACATTTTTGCAGTTAAAGCTTCAGGTTCAAAATTCTTTGTTGACAATGAAGGACACTTGTACAAAAGAGACAACCAAGGAAAGGAACATCTTATTGGTACTGGTGAGAGGTATAGAGTAGATTATAAAGGCCGAAAATACTTCTTAGACAAAGATGGTAAAAAGTTCATTGTTGACGTTAATGGCAATGTACTTCTGTTTGATGATGATCATCAAAGGTACAGCCTTGACGCGTCAGGGAAGAAAATGTTCCTTCTTCCAGAAGGACACAAGGGAAACATTCGTTTTGATTCAAAAGGGAATTTAATCAAACCGCAAATTAACAAAGCAAACGATGACTCATTAGATGATATTTCCAAACTTATACAAAGTGGAAAAGTTTATGTCGACTCAGAAGGACAAAGGGCAATAGTAGAAAAAGATGAAATGCTCTTTTATATTAGTTCAGAGGGAAAGAAACATATCCTACACCCAGAAACAAACATGTACAGGGTAGGCAGTGATGGGAAAATATATCTAGAAGATTCTGATGGCCTCAAATATTTTTCAAAATATACTGGAGAAGGAGCAACTAAAGTTGATGAAAGCCTTATTAAGGTAACTAGCTCAAATATATATGTGTATATATTTATTACTATGTGTATATTTTGATATATTACTGGATTATCTATTTGGCAATACATAAGTGAATATATTCCAGATGTTGACTTCTCCTGTTGGAAGTGAAGAAAGAGGAGTGAGGTAAGAAAATAATTAATAATAAATTGAATAAATAAACATTAATATTACAAAACAAATGTTAGTTTTGGCCCTATCTCAGCAATAAATGATTTGGGAGCGAATGACTTTGTGGTTAAAGATTTAAAAAGTACAATTGCCCGGCCTCCAACACCAGGAGCTGTAAGTTGTAACTGTACATAACCAGTAAAAATAAAGAAATAAATTAATTGAGTGTTAAATATTTTAGAATTTTTATGAGGGAAAGTACGGAATTAAAAAAATACACAGGCTGGCTGATTTAACGAACAATGCTGCAAGTCATCCAGAGCTTGACAGGATCTTTGTGCAGAAGCGCAAGTTGTTCGACTGTGCTCATGTCGTGCTCAAGAGAGTTCTTGCCTATGCTCTTTGGAAGATCACCAAGCTTGAAGAAAATGACTTACTTACATTGCCCATATTCTTGAGGAATATGCAAAGGCCAAAAATGAGTATGATTATCAATTATAACCCAAATGCCACAAATACTTAGCAAAAATTTGATTATTTATTAGCCAAACTGAACAATTCTATACATTTTTATATTAATTGTTTAAAATTTTTTTAGAGGCTATGGAGATGGTGGAAGGAATTACAAAAATATCTCTATACTACCCGATGAAGTATTTAACCAGCAAACGTTTAGCACCTTATGTAGATATATTAGTGAGGCACATACTCTACACGAAAAACTTTGATATTTTTGCTCGACCCGATCGTTTGACTGAACCAGATTTATCAGTATCTGGCGAGGAGCAACCTACAGAAGATACTTTAGATAAATATTTCAAAGATTTAAGGAATGAACTAGTTTCTAGAAAATATTCATACATATCTTACAATGAAAATGATCCGCTTGATGTTACGGTGGAGGTAGAGAAAGATGGAACAAGGAAAATCCACACTCACAATGTTGGGACAAATATTCCCAATCTCCCTGGATATTATTCTAGTGGGCACACAACGAATAGAGCTCCACTCACTGCTAGTGGACCTGTCAAACAAATAAAACCTGAGTCCATGCAAGACAAAACTACAGATTATGACTCAAAACAAGATTTGACCCAACCAAAACAACAAAGCGAAGAGAAAATCCAGGAATTCCCTCAACATACTCCAGGTCCTCCGATTTCATTGGATTGTATTCCCACTTTAACATCCTCCCAAACTCCATCTGAAATGGCCCGTATATTAACTCAACTTAGAAATCAAGCATTAGAAATGAGAAGGCTGCGTCAAATGAAAAAACCACCAAATAAGAACTTATTAAGGAAACCAAGAATGAAATTTGTAAGGTCTAAGAGCCGGAAAGGACGTTTCCGTCAAACTAGCAAGGGACGCCAAAAACTAAAGAATAGAAAGAAGAAGCAATATAAGAAAAAACAAAAACTAACAAGTAAAAAACAGATTAAAAAAACATTTATTTATTCTTTTGGAAGATTAGAAGATATTTACAGCGATATAAGTCTGTGTGATGATATAACAGTCACAGAAACAGACAAAAGTGCCTCTTATACTCATCATTCAAAGAGTGTGAATAGTAAAAGAGAAATTATCGAAGCACCACAATCCACAGATAATGCAGTAGCACAACAGCAGCAAGAATCAAGTACTGCAGCATCGAATCTAAAAGTTATCAACGCTTCTAAATCATCAGTCCCATCGAGATCTCATACTGAAATGGGCCAGCAAAACAAGTTTGAACTTGAATCTAAAAGTAAGCCAACAAAGAGAAGTTTCTACGCTCAACCTAAAGACTTTATAATTGAAAAACAAATGTCAACAACGGGCCAGTCAAATCAATTAGCCACTGAGAAATCTGATGATTTCATATTGCAAACCTCTAGCCAACTGGAATGCTATTGTGTTAAAGAATTTCAAAAGGAGAAATCCGTCGACAGTCATAGAAGTTCAAAAATAGAAAAGCGAAATAGTACAAAACTAAAAGAAACTACTAAGTTTAAACCTAAAGCAAAAGATATTCCAGAAGATAAGAATTTATCGTCATCGGATGAAGAAGAAGAAGAGGAAGAAGATGATGACAATGATGAAAATGATGATAGTGAAGACAGTTCAGAAGATGAAAGTTCAGATGATGAAGATGATGAGGATGATGATGACGATGACAGCGATGAAGAAGAAGAAGAAGACGATGAGGAAGTGGAAGAAGAAGAGATGAGGAAGTCCAAGAAAAAGAAAGGAAAGAAACAAAAAATAAAACTTAAAGAAGAAAATGCTAATGATGAAGTGGCTTCATTCAAAAGCAAAAAAAAATATTCAACTGTGGAAAAAATATCTGCAAAAAGTCCAGCAAAAGAAATTCGAGGTGCTGAGAAAGAAAAATCAGATGGTAAACAAATTGACATACCAGTGTTTAGCATTGACGATGTTAAACAAGTGAATTGGGAGTTGTACATACCTGGATTTAAAAGAAAAACACATATGTTATTCTTATTGAAATTATTCCAAACCAAATTAGGAAATTGCATAAATTTTCCTGATTGTGAATGTACTTGTGATGTTTCAGTTCCTGAATTTATGAACCGCCTTGACCCAAATGTTTTGCTAGGAATCTTAATCAATTCGAAAAGGGAGAAACCTAAGCCAAAAAAGAGGTGGGGATTTCAAATTGATGATATTGCTATTAATTCACAACTAAAACCAGAAGCCCGCATTGAAAAGTTAGAGGAAATTTTAAAGAATAAACTAGGCACTTATACAGTTGAAAAGCAGAGAAAATCACAGGAATTGTCAGATGAAAAACTACCAGATATTTTAGAAAACCAGATTAGTTTATTAAATGTAAATACAAGTCCTGAATTGCAAAAACAAAATTTTGGACCATGTGTATGTCCAAATAGTTGCTTACTAGAAGAAACTCTGGTAAAAGTTCAAGAAGAACTGCTAAATAATATTAAAATCGCCAGGGAAATAAAAGCTATGCCAAACAAAGGTCTGGGGGCAAAGTATAGAAGACGATTCATACAACTTGATCCCAAAACACTTAAGATGTTTAAAGGAGGAAAGGTGTGTTTGGCAGCCAGAGAACAAGAAGAGAAAGAAGAAAAGGAGAGAAAAGAACGTTTGCTACGGGAAAGAGAGGAAGAAGAGGCTCGCCATCTTGCAGAGGCTCTGGTACCAAAGGCCAGTGCAGAAGCCTTAACCGAGAAAGAAAAAGTCAGATTTGGCGACAACGTGGAATTTGAATATTCAAGGAAAGTTGTAAGCGAAATTACCAGTACGGTTGAAACAACAAACACTGATACCTCGGTTAAAAAGAAAACTAAAAAGAGCACAAGTAGCAAAAGTAAAACGTCAACCTCAACGAAAACTACAACAAAGACTTCTAAGAAGAAAAAGACAAAAACTAAAACTGTTACTAGGAGTAAAAGTAAAAAAGGTAAAGGACGTAAGAAATAGAAAACATCAGCTGTTCATAAAAAACTATGTATGACTGCAAATTGAATATCCTAATTAAACTTCAATTATTTTAAAACTATTGTTTTTAATTTAATCACTAATAAATAACACTGTGATTGTGAAATAGCATGTAGGTTTTTTGTTTTTCCTTTGGAGATTCTGCCATGATTAAAATCTCACCCATAACCATACCTTTTACTGTTTATTTGTTTATTTTTAAAGAATCAGGACAATCAATAGTCCATCAATGATGGCCATTAATTTTGTTTTTGTGTTTTTTTAATAAGATAGAATACGGTACTTTAAAAAAATTTATTTCACTAATAGAATTATATGCTCTGTACATACTGTTTACTCAGTAAATTACTTAAATTATCAGTCTTATTTTTTGCAATCCACCCCAGGATGGCCCTACTTTAAGTACAACAGGAAGCCTTACAGAAAGTTGGGTTGAGTTCTCCATTTCCCATTTCACAACTTGTTTAACCAACTCCAAATGTTCTTCTGAGACCTTTTAAAATAGGTTTTTAAAAATTATTTTATTAATAGTTTTAATCACTTTTTAAATACCTCATAGAGAAGTTCATCGTGGATATGAAGAACAAGATGCGATGAAGGGCCATTTGTTGTAAAGTTGTCTCTTTCAGGCAATATTTCATTCAGCCTCGTTTCAATTCTAATCATTGCCTTTTTTACAATATCAGCTGCTGATCCTTGGATTGTTGAATTGATCGCTTGCCTCTCTGCCTGGCCTACGAATCAAATCATAATTCTTCCATTGCGAATAAATTCAAAGAGAAGAAAATACTTTTCTTAGTGCTGTTACTGCTATTGATGGCAGGAAGCAACCTCTTCCTCCCTGTAATTGTTGTAATAAACCCATTCCTCGAACAGTCTTTAATGCATTTCTTTAGAAATGCTTGGACCCCAGGATACGATCTTCTGAACTTGGCTGCCATCATGCCTGCATTAGCAGCAGTTTCTCCCAAATGATCGCCTAAGGTCCTGTCTCCCATTCCATAAATTATACCGTAAATAATTTGTTTCGTTTGCTGCCTTAGTTCATCAGTGACCTAAAAAACAAGGGAAAAGAACAAATCAATATTTTATTACTTATGGGATACTTACTAGACTAGGATTGATGTTGTTCCAATTTGCGGCTATGCTTATAAAAATATCTGCATCAGAATTAATCAAATTCAAAAGAACTTTGTCTTGTGAAAAATGTGCAAGAATCCTCAGCTCCAATTGGCTGTAATCAGCCGACAGGAATAGATTGCCTATTTAGTTTTTATTTAATTTATTTAATTAGTTATAAAACACTTTACAAATTCAAATCTTATCACTAACCTTTGTTGGGAATAAAAGCAGACCGGGCACTAAAGAATTCTCCATTTATAGTGAAATCCCTAGCTACATGTTGCAAATTTGGGTCATGCATTACAATGCGCCCTGTTGATGTGCACATATTGGAAATTCCCCTACACCTTTCATCTCGTTCAAGACATGTTAAAAGCTGGCTCAAATTCTAGTTTAAATGGAGAAGTAATATTTTTTTAAATTTAAATCTGTTAATGGTATATATTTTAATATCTTACTCTAGCTTTGAGAGAGGAAAGTTTTCTCCAATTATGAATCGCCTTCATAAATTCACTTTCTGCTTCATTTTCAGGGGTGATTTTTAACAAATTTTTCATCTGAAAATAATGCTCGGTTTATTAACAAATTTTTGAATAAATGTTTAGATTCAATTACCAAATTGATATCTTTTCTTGATGTAATATTAAACTGATGGCCGGCCAGTTTATAAATCTCTTCTTCCAAATTTTTCATTGCGATCTCAACTCTCTTCCATAAAGCTGTTGATGTTTCCCTATTGAACTTTATCCCAACAAGTTCCATATTCAGAATTAATGATAACAATGGAACTTCAATTTCTGGAATAAAAATTATTTTATGAAAATTTGTAACTAGAACGATTCTATAACAATATTCACCATCAAATATATGATGTAGCTGATTTTCTTTTAATTTCAAACTTATTATATTTTTTAGAGCCCAAATTTGTTTGATATGTGACATTCGGCCTGAGAAGTCTTTATTGGAAGTTAAATAATCACTGGCCTTGAATCAAATAAATAATGCGTTGTTTTAATAAGCAAAAAAAAAAGATGTTTTTATATTTTTTCAGTTAATAATAGGGGGAGCGTCGGTGGTCGCAATGGTTTAAGCATTGACACGGCGCTCATATGCTGTAAGGTAAAGATCCCAGGTTCGCACCCCAAGGGTTGATATAACCTGATTTATCTGGTGTTGTGTTGTGATGGAAATTGTATAGGGGGATCAGATAGTTGTCAAAAGGAATGCTGAAGTTGTTGTAAGTACCTTTGACAATTTGTTTTTGACTGAAAGAATTCAATGTGCTGGACATTAGCCGACTTGGAACTCAATGATTCCACTCTGCCCAAAGTGTATTCATTAATGTCTTGTTTGAGTTAGTTGAATTTTGGTCACAGATTTCATCCCTAAAGGTTTTTATAGAATATGTTATGGATATTTCAAATCAGTCTTAAGAATCTGACTTGAGAGGAAGTCATTAGTTCCTTGTTGTCGATGTACACTGTATAAACATATAAATCAAAGGAAGAATTAACCAGGATCTAGGTGCACAAGTTTTTTGAAGAAAAAATTGTATTTATGCTTGTTGGTCATCATTACAAAAGAATATGACAAAAAGCGATTCAGAACAATAAAATACATTATGCACATATTTTTTGTGGTTGGATCAAAAAATCATTATTATGAATATTGTTTGTTGATGAATTGGAATTTTATCATTGTTTATTTGAAGCAAGATCGTGAAATTGTAAAAAATCAGAAAACTGGGAATAACTCCGAAACTTTTGAGATTTGGACCATAGCTAATTAGGACTTTTTGGTTCCATTTTGAATGTAGAATCTACTGGCAAAGTTTCTAACACGAGTAGCCGAACACCCTGTATAAGTAAGTTGTGGGGAAGTGTGGCATGAAAAAAGGGCCAGATGTGACGTGGGAATTGAACCACTGGGTCTACGAGCTGAGAGTCTATCATGCTGGCCAATGGGTCCCCCAATCTTAATCTTCTTAATTCTCCTATTATTAATTTTTCCTAAATTAATTTTGACTCCTGTTTGACATATATAACTTAACAAGATGCAGAACAAATTGATAAGTACATAATTTTTCAAAAACAAAAGCAAGGATCAACAAAGAAGTATAGAAAATAAAGTTGCGAGATGAATAGGACAAAAGAGAAGAAAAGCATTGCTTGAGATTCAAAGAATAGAGGATGAGAAGAAAGATAAGAAAAAAAAACCGAAATGGGGCAATATAACAATAATTGGAAAAATTGGAATGCAAACGAATTAGGCAGACATCAATTTGGATACAAAACGCTTCTATTTATTTTTCTAAAGTTAAAGTTCATTGCTCATTAGTATTTAAAATAAAAACCGAGAAACTTACTACAGTATGCTATGGTGTCTGTATATTTTATATATATTTTACAAAAAATAAAAAGTAGACCTTTTTTTCCAAATAATAGTCAATGTTTTAACATAAGTATAATAACACCATCTATTGGTTATGTGTGACACTTTACAAGTTTACATCTGGTGGAGAGTATTTAAACCAAAAAATGAGAAGGTTCAGTTGTACGTTTTATCTGCCTTCCGGTATGTTGTGATTGTGACTTTACAGAGGGTAGGCTCAGCTTTAAGCAACTTAATAGGTATTTTAAAACTCCCAAGGGAAAATGATGCCGTTGGAAAGGTTGGTGAATCTGACGGTTGCTAGGAAAGGCATGATATGCCTTCCATCGCGACACGTAAGCTTTTTTTCTCGGGGCAAGAAAAAGGAGGAAAATAAAAACGAGGAGACGTTCAGCATCGACGGTGACCAGATTGACAGAGAACTGATGATAAGGGAGAAGAATGAAGAATTGGAACTGAAAAGAAACAAGTCAAACCTTAATCCTCACCATAGAAATATGATCTTAGGCCTACCTCCTAATAATATGGAATTAATCGACTGTCATAAGACGATGAGGTACAAAAGAAAAATGTTTGGAATGTACGTATGACAAGTTTATTAAGTACACAAAATGCATGTTTTTCTATCATTTCATTTTTTAGGTACGGAAATAAGAGCGGAGTAGACCCAGGGGCGCTGTGGTATTTAAAAAGCGACTTGGCTGAATCGGATGAATTTGAAAAAATCGCGTTCCCTTATAGCGTCCAAGAGTCGATAGAAAGGGCACTCGAGGTAAAAAGAAAAGAAGAGGAAAGGATTTGGGAGAGGGAAAAAAAGATAATCGAAAACCTGAACAAGCTTGAGGATTGGAAAAGGCAAGTGCAGGAAAGGGCGGCCAAAAAATTGGCCGATATGGAAGCAGCCAAAGCCAAGAAAGACGCTCTAATAGAAGAGGTCCGTCGTCACTTCGGCTACAAGATAGACCCAAGGGATGAGAAATTTAAAGAATTACTCCTCCAAAAGGAGAAAGACTATAAGAAAAAGCTCAAAGAACAGAAAGCAAAGGCAAAACAAGAGAGACTCTTAGAAAAATTGGGCAAAGAAGCTTAAGAGTGAGTTTATTTCTGTAAATACAGTGTAACATTTTTTTAAGATTATTAAATAGTATTTCATCAATTCTTTTATCTCCCCTTCTGTTAAAATCCCTGATTTTTCCCCCAGATTGTGTCTAAAATGCTCAAATGACAGTATTCATCATGCATTTACATACATATGAATGGGGGGAAAATCAGCATTCAATAACGGTCGATTCCAGCAAATGACGAGAAAAAAACAACCAAAAGCACATATCTTGATAATTAATCACTGGTTACAATCACTAGGAAAACTTTGTAGTGGACTTTTTTTTAATGGTTTTATGTTCTAACATAAATTCACCAGAGCACCATTGGGGGAAGGGGAGCGGTTGCTGAACTCATGATCGTGGTACATATTAAAAATGAAAAATAATATTACAAAATGTAGCTAAAAGAATTAATTATGTTCAATGTCGTACGGCTTACAAAGTCATAGATATTTAGAATAGTTTATATTAAAATATGATCAGAGATGAGGCCAACTGAAAAGAAAACATTCATCCCCTTCATCGAGGGTTTAAGAAATATACCACCTTCATCATAGCTATGAAACTATAACTTTAATTTAAAAGGTTAACAAATATTAATGGTTAGGGATGGTCCCAAACATTTCCAAACCAATAAACTTAGAATCTGTCCTAATAAGCAACAATCCATCAGCTTTCAACATAATCTATGGATTTCTAAAGTCGATAAACGTTTCTTTTTGATTATCTTCAACCATGAAAATTTAGAAGATGATGGAGCTGAATGAGTGGTGTGGGTGCGCGGCGGGGACCTGGCCCTGGTCGGCCGATCACGCTCGACAGTAAAATGAAAATAGAAAACTTCATGGGTAATATGCCAGCATAAACCCCCCCCCCCAAAAAAAAAAAATTAAAATCTATTCACAAATTTGAAGCCTAAAGTTGAAATTAAAAATTGAAATCAGGAGAATAAATATGAGGGTATCACCTAGCTGGCATACTACTCTGCTTAGATTCCCGTGGACCGCGGTACTGTACTGGGTCATTGGACGTGCAAATTTGTCACGTATAGTTATGTTATTTTGTTTCTATTTTCCCGACTTGCATTTGTGTGTAGCCATCTACGTTACTTGGTGCTGACAGCCTCCGCCAAGTCAGCATGGCCCCCAAGACCAGCCAAGTTGGAGTAGTACTCTTTTCCTTACTTCAGGCTGCTCATGATAGCGACGAATAAAAACCTACATGGTACAATGTAGTCCACCACCAATCTAAAGAATCTAGCTCTTTTTTTTGTTCACCAGTCGTCAGATATATTTGGGGGGGCCGTAAAGCAAAAAATTCAAATAAAATCTCTAGCCGAGTTAAGTAGGAAGCAATAAAGTTCCCCCGGGTGACAGGAGGAGGAGAGTTAAATCTCCTTATCAGGATGACATTAAGGAAGAAAACTGGGACCTGTGGCGTGCGGCATCTTGGCGCACCACACAGGTCGATCGTCAGTTTATTGTTGAATATTAGTGGATCTGTTTTCTGAGAAGTGCCACCCACTCCGTGGGCCACCCGTGTGAACCGATGCCGAATCCCACCTAAATAACAAGGCTACAATCCTTGTCATTACCTTTCTGCCGCCTTGCATAACGACGCCGCTCCGGCCTTAAACTTCTCACTCCACATCTTATTCGCGGTTTATTAAATCCATGCCCTTTGAGGACGGCTTCGGCTCCCGAGGCTCTTATTAACAACCATTATCTGACAGCTTAGACCATTTTTTTACACAGCTGCCGAAATCGTGTTTGCATGTTTGTTCTAGCCTCTTTCATTATTAAGCCATAATAATAATCTTTGCTTTAACAATTATTTCTAGGAATAAGAAAAATTGGGAATTATTTTGTAGAAAATGAAACATTCAAACTACATACGATTGGCCAACTACAAACATCAGTAAAGCGATCCTTTGGATAGGGATAAAAGAGGCTGCCACAAAGTTTTTTGCATTTCGGCATGGAGCGTGGTAGCCGAGTGGTTAAGGCGTCAGACTCTCGGCTAGTCTGGTCACGGTCGTGGGTTCGATCCCCACCATCACCTCTGGAATTTTTCTGACGCCTAAGGGGACCGGTGGCCACAATTGAAAGGAATTGACACAGCACTCAATAGGCGGAGCAGGATCAGATCTCAGCAACCCTGAATTTGGTCCCAACTACCTTCAAAAATGAGTTTCTTCGATGGAAGAACACCAGGGGCTCAAATTCACACTTGTGTTGTGAGCCCCCAAAACTGGAGGCAGGGATAAAGTACAATAAGCTGTACAGCTACAGTGCTCAGGAAACAAAATGGGGCATAACATGCCCAGAGTTGTTTTTATTTGATAGTTGACAACCTGAGGTACAAATGAGAGGCTACCATTTTAGGATATTGACTATAAAATGATTTTTAGTATACATTAAAAGCCGAGTCAGTGATTAGATCGAGATGTTCAAATTACTACAGTTTAAAAAGACACATGAAATACCAGAAAAAGAAGTAAAAACACAGAGGGCTGGTGATGACCTAAGCTGTTTGTAATAAATAAAATTTTGACTTACCACCTGTTTAAACGACCGACTATCATCACTCGGGTTTATTAACCAATCAGCAATAAAGAGATCTTTGATTTTTGTTCTGACTAGAATTTTCGTACAGTTGTACAGTAACTTTAGATCCTCTTTTATATTGAAAGTAACGAGAGTTTTGTCTCTCATTTGAAGCACTCGACCAAGGATTTTTAGGCAAGGGCAATCTTAAATATAAACATGTCATTATAACATTATCTGATTTGTAGAAATAATAAATTACCTGCTCTTGTGAGATCAAAAATATAATTGGTTTTATCCCAGTACAGATGGACACTGATCAGTGCGTGTCCTTTGTATGACATTTCAGGTTTTTTGTCTAATTGGTTTTTCTTTAAAAGTTTCACCCCAATTCGTTTTTCAATTACAGTGTTAGATGAAGTTTGAATATAAAAAGCCGCTTCGTCGATTTTTACAAATAAAGAGCAAAATTTGGAGAGCAGTTTTTCATCTTTACACACTTCAATGTCCATGTATTCTTTTTCAACGTTGTATTTATTATTTACGTTCTGTTTTTCCAACTTTATACTTTTATTTTTCACTGGAGAAATTTGAACATCTTTTAAACATCCAATTGTATTTATTACACAGTCAGAAGGCGTTCTAAAAACAATCCTTTTGTTTAATCTCACATCAAATAACAGGGAAAAAATTATGCACTACTCGACCATGTTTTGGCCTTATTTTATAAAAAATGCAAGATAGTTTTGTTAATTTTTTCTTGTAAAAAAATTAGCCTGTACAAGCAATTCTCACTACTTTGAGATATTGTGTTGAGATCAGATAGGTGGTGGACCTGTAATATGATTAGTTTTTGCTGCAAAAATAAGTCTAAGAGTAAAATAAGTGATTAAACAATGATCGAAGATGATCAAACTAAAAATCCCAATGATTTACAAATACATTACACGTTACCTGTTATTGTTTGACTGAATGGGATTTGCATCAATCTTATCATCAAAATGCACCTCCTCGATATTATTATACTCTTCAAAAACATCCGCTATTGAAGAATTTGAAAAATGATTTTTATCTCTGGATAAAGTGCACCTAGCCTCATGATTCCCGTGCTTTCCTTCCAGATCAAGTTTATCGATAATATGATCAATTTTATTCCCTTTTAGTTCATTGTTGTCTTGGCTGTCAGACGGATGTTGTAATGCATTCAACACCTTTGTTGGTGTGGTGTTAGGTGTTTTTGAGGACTTCACTACAGAAATGCCTAGTGCTGGGTACTTAGCTGGTGATTTACCACTGTTATGCCTTTTCCATTTTTTCGGTGTTGTATCATTTGAAACACTGTCAATGCTCAACAAACGTTTCTCTGCTGTTGCAGGCATGAACGGCGCTCTAAAACATGTAAAGCAAATGTTTATTTTTTACTTGGGGAGTTTTTATTAAACGAGAACATATCAAATAAATTAACATGTACCTTAAAATACAAACAAATTTACTATGTTTATCAATATTGTTAAAGTTTACCAATTCATTTCTTTATTAAAAATTACCTATTATTAGATAAAATTATTTCAATTGGTTCATCTGGTGCTGAATGCTCCTCATCAAAAATGTCAATGGAATTTTTTCTATTAGCATTTAACATTATTTCAGGAGTTTCCATTACACTGTCCAGATCAATTTTGTGTTTACAGTAAACAATTTTATCAAGTTTATTTTCATTTTTGGCAGGATTAACTGAGGGATTCAGTGATTCATTTAATACTCTGTTATCTTTCTCTTTTGTCGGAGTTGTATTCGGTGTTTTCGATAGCTTCACTACTGAAGTTCCAAGCGATGGGTACTTCGCTGGCGATTTACCGCTGTTGTACCTTTTCCTTTTTTTAGGAGTTGTGCGAGTTTGATCGACATTCAATAAACGTTTTTCAGCCGTCTCGGGCATATATGGCAAGCTAAACAGAATTTTAAAACAATAAGAAATAAATTACAAAAAATTAAGCACACTTTTTAAACAAAATTAATAACTCATTAATAAGTAAAAATATTTGTACGCATCTGCATAAATATCTAAAGTGGATCATGCCAATTTAAATATTTTATTAATTAATTTGTTTTAATATTAATAAATGTTACCTATCATCCTTGTTTGTGGTAAAAACGTTGTCCTCTGGTTCAGAATTTACAGCCTCAATTCTACTGAAAGATTCTTCAAAAGCGTTGGCTAAAAAAGTGTTCGTCATGCTTTTTGTTTTATCGATTCCCACAGGCCCATGGAGTTTGGAGCATTCATAAGCTTTATTATTATGTTCTGCAATTTTATCACATTCAACTGGGCTGCTTGGACTTGACGTCTTGCATATTCTCTCCTTCTTCGGTGTGGTTTTCAGTGTTTTTCTTGATTTCATTGACACATCAAATGAAGGAGAATCGAGAGAACAGAAACTGTCATGCCTTTTTCTTTTTTGTGGGGTTATTATTTTACTCGATGCCATTTTTTTAACTTTTAACAAATTTTCGTGAGCAGCAGGCCTGAAGGATAATCTAGAAAAGATTATTTAAATTTTTTGTTATTGTGACGAAGATATATCAGGAATACAGGAATAAAAAAAATCCTAATTTTGGGTTCTCTATATACTTAAAATTTCACTTTTGATATGAGCTGCATAAAATTGCTCCTTTGTCAAGCTTTAGAGGAATAAATACCAACCATCAAGACTTTGAAACTATTATTAACTACTAGGATACAAAAAACTAGGTTTGAAACCATAAGTTTCAGTGCTGAAAGTAAATGTTCATATTTGTGAGTTAATAATAATTATTCAGAAATCGTGAGATGCGGTCTGGTGTGATGTAGGTTTCAGAAAAACATTTTCTTTATCGTGCCAACGTTTCGATCTTTATTGAGATCATCTTCAGGGCTCAAAGTGTTTGTCTTCTGTGTAATTGTGCCATTCTTGCGTGTCGTGTTGAGAGTGTGTTAATAATAATAGTTTTAAAGTCCAGGTGAAGGGTTATATTCCTCAAAATCTTGATGAAGATACTGAATTTTTTTCTTTTATTTCAAACCTGCCTTACCCCTGATGTTTTAATTCAAAATAAATACTTTCTCTCCAGAGAATAAAATAATAAGAAAAATTTTATAATGTGATATTTTTTATGGTATAACATCGGGATTGTCATAGGCTACCCAAAATCCCTGAAAATCGACAATACTTTTTTTAATGCTTCCAAAAAACATTTGGATTTGCCTATAATTTTTTCTATAAAAAATAGGCCTAATTAAAAATTTACTGGATATTTACTTTTGTAAAACTAGTATGACCTTTTTAATTCGTATTAATAAAATATTACAAAATTGAAACAAAAAATTTTGATTATTTTTTAAGGTAGCAACATAAGTGGCTTAAAAAATTATGAATAAATCAAAAACACTTTTAAATGTTTTTAAGTTTATTTGACATATCGAATACAACAAACTGATAAATACAAAGGGTTTTTTTTATGTACAATATAAAAATATACTGAATATATAATATTCAACTCATTTTTTTTAAATACAATGTTAATTAGAAGCCCATTTTCAGAGATTTTCAGGTTCTTTACTCTTACAACTGTTTACTTTTTACAAGAAACTATATTTTATTAGAATAATTTTTACCTGTTGCTATTTGATGGAACAGGATTGATAGTGTCGAGTGTTTCCGATAGACATTCTGCCATGCCATTAAAAGAATCCTCAAAAGCGTCTGCCAAGAATGTATTTGAAACGGTGTTCTTGTTATTTTTCTCTAAGGTCTCTCCAGAATTGAGAATATTTTCTAATTTGGAGTCAATACTGATATTATCCTGAAAATACTCAGACATGTCGGGTTTTTGTTTATTCTTAGCGTCTGGAGAATTTATTAAACAAGGCTTTTTACGCTCTACTGGTGAATTTTCTACTAAAGAATCGCTCAATCTCCTTTTTGGAATATAGGAAATTTCCTCGTGAATGGAACGCTCAAAAATGCTATCGCCACCTAAATTTGGATCAAAATCGTCAAAGTCTCGTAATTTGATATTTTCAACTTTTACGTCGACTGGAGATTCGTTGAATATATCAGAATTGCTATGGCATGACGTATTTGAGCCCAGTGACCATTTTCTTTTCTCCTTGAATGATATATTTTTAGGTGTTGTTTTAGGCGTACTACTTTTAATTTTATGTGCGATTTTATTTTCTAGAAACACAGAGTTCTTAATACTTTGTTTTATACTTTCTTCTTGATTACATGTATTCTCTGTCAGGCTGTCAAGACTGAAAGGTTCGTTAAAAACCGAAGTACAATTCGAAAATTTCAAATCATTTTTATCTGTTTTTGGTTTTATGAAATCAATATCAAACAATTCTGAGTTTTTCTGTTCAATTTCAAGCTCTTGGGTACCTGGTACAATAATGTCATTTTCATAATTTTTTGTTAAGGACGGATTGATGTTAGGTAACTTTTGAGAATTAATTTTGTCTTGATTTATTACAATTTCTTTTGGTTTTTCACATTTCTCTAGAAACTTGATTTCCTCTAATATTTCCATATCAGAAAAACAATCGAAATCATCATTTTCTTTAGAAATTTGGGCTTTGCTCAGTTTGCTAGTTCCATTAAAAGATTCACTTCCATCTTTGGTAATTTCGTTTGGATTTTGTTGAACACTATCAGATTTTTTTATTTCTTCGGAAAGCTGAACTGTTTCTTTAAATGTTTCATTTTCTTTTTTGGCCTGTACAATGGGTGATGGTTTATTCTTCGCTCTACTTAAAACACTTGATTTTCGTTTCGATGTCCTTTTTCTTCTGAAGGAATGCCTAGATCTGCTAGATACACTAGACCAAGAATTGTGCAATGTGGAACTTTCGTAAAATGACGAGCTAACACTTGCATTCCATTCTATATTCACAACACCCAATTCCCTCTAAAATCCAATTAAATAAAGTTAGAAATATATTAAATTAATTATACCAAATGAAGTAAATACCGAAAGAAAAGCTCGAGCCTCGTGTATAAAAATATCAGCAGCTTCTAGATCTGAAAGCCCAGGTCTGCCTGGCAAACATATATCTTTACTATCCTTAAGATCAACTGCTTCACTAAAATAAATATACAATATGAAAAATCACAAAAATTAATTGTATACATTTTTGGTAAAGTATATCGAACTTTTGGTACGGCATGGCTTTGCGTATAGCATTTTGTATTGCCTGAAGGTTGGAACATGCGAGTTCTGAAAGAGTTTTTATTCCGGAGTTAAACAATCCTCTTGCCAAGACTGCAGTCATGCAATCAAGCCGCATCAAGTCCAAAAGGTCCCTTTGGACGCCAAATTGTATTCTTCTTCCAAGTTCAGCCACCACGACTTCCAACGCACCCCAACTTAATTTGTGGCAAAAGTTTGTCACCATGCCTAAAGTTATTATAACAAAATTAAATGTCACAGATAGAGAAGTTTAGAAAAAATGGATTACCAGCAAATGTAGACGCCGATTGCTGTAAAGACTGAAGCATCCCTTTGTTACACCCATATTTTTCTGCAACTGCATGTAAAGGATGTTCGTTAACAAGATCTTGAAGTGCGAGTGCTGTATAAAACCGTTTTAGAACTGATATCCGTTTAGCCTGTATAAAAAATACAAGAAAAAGACGATGTATCATTTTCAGTATTAGAAAGATCGACCACTTTTTCACTCACGGGCACTGTGGATATTTAAGATTGTTTTGTCCTGTTGACCTTAAAACAGGTCGAAAAATTGGCAGTAACAACGAATTTCATCTTCAAGACAATTACCTTGATCCAGAGTGTTCGTAATGTTTTATAATAACAGATAGTGACAATGAAAAGTTGATTTATTTATTTGATCAACTAAAAACTAATTCAATTAAATATTCTTTTTATCTAAGGTCTTGGTTGAGATGAAAAAGTGTCACAAGCGAGATTCAAACCCACGACCTTCAGTGGAGCGGATCAAAGTCAGTGGTTAGAGCAGCGGCATATTAAACTGAAATTTTTGTCAAATCTCGCTCGTGACACTAACATTTTCTTCTTGACCAAGACCTTAGATAAAAATAACATTTAATTGAAATAATTAATATAGTCAATTATGGCCGCTGAATCGATAAATTAATTAAATAATCTCTTTATGTAAGGTTTTGGTTGAAATGAAAAAGTTGGTTCGAATCCCGCTCTTGGCACTAACTTTTTCGTTTCAACCAAAATCTTGATGTATTAATTAAAGTAATTATTTTGCTGACAGCTCCCCTGGCCCCTTCATGTCACTGAGACTCGAATCCTGATTACACGACATTTGAAAAATGGCAAAAAGGGGGAAAATTCAAAAGGTTGTATGTTGAGATAAGGAGTTGGTGTCCAATCGGATCAAAGTCACAAAAGCTCAATCGGTTAGGCCAGCAGCGATTCAGCTGACGGTCATGGGTTCAAATCCGACTCGTGACGCTAACTTTTTATCTCAACCAAGACCTTAGATAAAAATAATATTTAATTGAAATAATATTGTCAATTATGGCTGCTAAACATATATGGATTAATTTTTTTTGCCTTGTGCAACCACACATCAGCCATACTGTCAACCGGGGATGGTTATGAAGCAAGGGAAACTGATGAGGAGAAGCCGCTGCGCCCCAGACTACAACCACGCAGCGGTAAGGGCTGCCATGCTTTCTTTGTTCCTTTTTTTTTTAAATTATATATAATTACAAGGGCACCTGGAAGACGTAGATAAAAACCATTTACACAAAAACCTATATGGAAAAGTCCACGTCTCCCTACGCTCGAGGCTATACATTGCCCAGAAAGCACGAGCAGCCCCCCACCCGGAATGCAGCCGCTGCACCCTGTCACCCCAACACCCCAGACAACGCAACACAAAAGTCAGAAACAATTACTTGACTCAAAAGTCAAAAAGAACAAACATTTTACAGAGAGAGAAGTCATTCATACACAGAAGCGGCGGGGCGTCTCAAAGTACTGAGGTCCCCAAGACCCCGCCCCCCAGAGCGTTGACTGTTCAAATATCTATTTTACCCCCCCCCCCTTGGTGAATTGATATAGAAGCATGTAAACAATGTCTCTTACTTCTGAAATTAGGGACTCCAAACAAACGGTTTTACTACACACTACAAGGAATAGATCCTCTCCAGGAAAATTTTTCTCCTCTCCTCGTGTTCTGGGCATTCCATAATCAAGTGATTGAGGTCTTCTGGTTGATCACAAGTCATGCAATTTGGGCTGTCTCTCACAACTATTCTGAATCAACGCGCACCCCATAACCCGTGATTTGTACGTATTTGCACCATCGTGGAGAAAAAACGCCTCAACCCCTTACACCCTTGAAACCATGGCTTCTTAGGCACCATGGGAATATGGATTAATTAAAACTAATTATTCATACAGACAATATATCAAACACAACTTAATAATCTCCTAAACAAAAAAACACCAGATTGTATGAGGAAAAAAACAAGCTTATCGGTTCTTTCTGAGATTTCTTCTTGAAATCTGCTTGATGATGAACCTGCAGTTTATTTTCTATTGTCCTGATCTGCCTATTCTCACTGGTTAGTCTATCGGACATGACAGACTTTCAAATATTGGAATTTTATTGAATCCCATGTTTACTTTTCTCTACTAAACAGAATTTATTTGTTACTTACATTATCCCTGACGTTAATCGATGATCTCATAGCCTTAATAAGAAACCGTTCCTCTACACCAATAAGATATCCAATTTTTTTAACACTCTCGTGCAACGATTCCCAAATTGTAAATGCCTTTACCCAATCGATTTCCCAGTGATCACACACTGAGAAAGGAATTACCTTGAAAAAAAAAAGTAATCAGTGGAAATAAAACCATGTATGAACTTTTTTAATACCTGATATAAAGCGTGTAAATCAGTTTCAAGAACGAAACATTTCCTGGCCCTTGCAAGTTCATTTGTCAGGACAATGCCCTGATCTGGTGGTATAGACGCGGCGAAACAAGCCTCCGCCAAACTGGACGCAGATATGTCTTCGGAATTGCAACTTTTTGCTAAAAATCCTTGGTCTTGCAAGGAATCCAAGCATAAAGTGACAACATCGTCAAGTCTTTCAATCCCAAATGATTGTGCCAGAAGAGTACAACTTGCGTAACTTCTAATTTGATCTTTGGTGGTGACAATACCGCTGGCGATAATCTTAGAAAATGTAAAAAAAAATAATAATAATTAGTATAATTGATCTAAAAGTAAATAAAATTGAGAGAAGAAAAAGTTAAACATTTGTATTACTTCTAATATAGCTCTTTTAAGACTATTTGACAAATCGCCTTGGCCAAGGCAACTCTCAACTGCTGGCAGGTTTGAATTGACAATTTGCAGCCCTGCATACTTGTCTTCTTCAGAGCAAATCAAATAGCTCTCACCTGAAAAATCAACAACCGTATTAAAAAAGTAAATAAACATACAATATTCTTCTAGTTCAATACCTTCAGTGTCTTTCCCCATTCTCCCAGCTCTACCAATCATCTGTCTGTACGTGAGAATATCCATAGGTCTTCCGTTAAACAGAGGTGTCCTAACTATTACTCTTCTTGCGGGCAGATTGACTCCGGCTGATAGAGTAGAAGTCGCGACTATAACTCTTATTACGTTCTTTCTAAACGCACCTTCTATAATGTCTCGTTCGTCCATTGTCAACCCTGCCGATACAAAAGCAACGGATTTTTACAAACGTATTGAGTTAATTTTCTCATAAAATATTTACCAGCGTGATGAAAACCGACTCCAAAAGAAACACTCCTTCCTAATGACTTTTCCAAACCAGCAGGGCATTTTTTCAATTGTTCCAATACTATACTAATTTTATTTGAATTGAGTTGTTCTCTCAAAGATAAGCCTATATTGTCTTGAGAACAACCTTGAAAAGTAAATAAATTATTGTGAGATTCTTAGTTGGGGATCATAGCAATGATTTTATTATTATTTTTTAAATTAATAGTCTACACATTGTACTTGTACACAGTTCGGTCGTTACCAATTTTATAATAATTGGTTTGGGCCAAAGCTGGCGTGTCCGGCATGTAGAGAAAGTTAGTTGTAACTCACCTAATTGAAAGGCTCTGAACAAAGAGTGCGCAAGAATGCCACCGGATTTGAGCCCAGATGTATTTGGGTCCCCTGTTTCGATTCTTGGAGGAAACAGGGTTGTTCTATAGAATATTGTGAATGTATTTATTACCATGAATCTTCTTATTAGCATGAATGTGTGATGGAATATCAAGTAAACCATCATCTATCATATTATAGGAGTGAATTTAAGAATGAACATGAGTACAAATGGGTTTGGAAGTACATGAGTTAGATGAACTAACTTTTGACAGAACTCCTCCCACTCCAGAGACAGCTGGAAAGATCTAAGATCTAAACTTGGACAGCCGATACCCATGGTGGGTGATACTTGAGTTTGCCGGCAATTTACTATAAATAGCAAAAGTTGGAATTGCCAATGGATTATGAGAAGCGAATAACTCAACTGTTGAAGATGGAAAATAAAATAATAAAAGATAAAAACCAATGATTAAAATTAAAAAAAAAAAAAAAAAGATTATTAGAAACAAACGTACAGGCTCATCATCTTGCACACACTACAATAATTAATTTGATTGCATAAATTACAATATACACTAATAATAAATTTGCTTTTGCAAAGTAAAATGTTCAAAAAGTTTTGTACAAACTTACCCAGTTTTTTTATTTCGACTGAAATCTGCTGAGCTAATGTTTCACACCAGTTTTTGGTTGGGCAGAAGACTAGCACGGAATATCCCTTTAAAATTGTGTCTATACAGAGGTATATCACATCTCCTGAATCTTTCTACCGATCAGTAATAAATAAATGATAGTTTATAATAAAATAATAATATATACAGGTTAATAAAAAATTAATACATTTATTGTAAATTCAGGTGTGATCTCATGGGAAAGATAGTTTCCTGGGCTTTTGTAAATTTTTTTATTAACCTTAATATATTCATAAAGTGGAATTGGCCTGAATTCCGTTGTATAAAGTGTTGCATCAAGCCACGAAGCAAGTAAATCTAAATTAGGAAGTGTGGCAGACATTCCAACTATTTGTATCATTTCAGTCAATCCTCTGTAATAAAACAGTTAATAAATTATTTCAAAAGCATGAGTTAAAAAAACAAAAAACTGATTTATTACATTTTACAAATATATCTAATTTTTGTGAGAAGCAGTTCAAGCAAGTAACCCCTGTGAGGATCTCCGAGTAAGTGAAGTTCATCAACTACAACACATCCAACATTTTCAAAACTCCGTTCTTCTAACAATCTGAAAGTAATTAAACATTAATGACTTTTTTAATGAATTTACGTTTTATTTTTTCACCTGTTTATAAGACTATTAGCTTTTTCAATTGTGCATATTGCAACATGAACTGCCCTAAAGCCACCTGGAGGACAATAAGAACCCATAAAACCATCCACTCGTATTCCACTGCCAGCGAGTAATTCCTAGTGCGGATAATTTATGAGTCAATTTGGCATTATTTTTCACATAATAATATAAATAAAAACCTTAAAATATAGCATTTTTTCTCGAACTACAGAAACAAACGGAAGGATGATTATGACTTTTTTCTTTCTTTCTAATACAGTTTGGAGGGTCAATATCTCAGCAACCAATGTTTTCCCTAGGACAAAAAAAAACAAGCAAATTAATATACAGAGAAAGTAAATAAAGCCTTTTATTTATAGTTAGAAATAGATTTTATTACTAGCAAATAGTTTGCATATCGTTAGGTTGTTTTTTAGAAAAGTCAAACATTTTAAATGTCATTAACAGGTTCCCCCCCAGGGTCATTAATGATGATCAATTTTTTTTTTCCACTGTGACCTAAAAATTCATTGGAACTGATCCTTCTTTACTTCTATACTCCAGAATATGGGATTCCATCAAGGTAGTTGAGCACTTTCAGGAGTTCCTTTTCACTTATTTCCCTAGGTGTTAGTGTACAGTCACATAAATATTCTGACGTTTCTGCTGTTTCATGGCAGAGTTGGCCGACTTCTGTTTAAGTTTTTCCATTTTTTAAGGTGGTAATAAAATGGGCAATGACCAATATAGAGGCCTATTATTCTTTTATACATGAGAGAGAGAGGTAGATTTTTGTTTTCCATGTTGAGAAACTTCTTTGTTTTGAACCTGATGAATTCATCCACGTATGTTCTTTTTTTTCTACAAAAATCCACCTCTATTGACATTGAATTCCTGGACATACAAATATTTATTGAGCGATACAATATTAAGAATTATAAACAATAAACGCAGGAGAACCACAGGGCACCATATTAGGTCTATTACTTTTCTTGTTATATACCAGTGATTTTTCAAAAATGGACGGAAAAATAGCAACATTTGCAGATGTCACAGTGATGATATCAGTAGGACCGACCATCAACTCATCCAAAATCCTTTAAAAGGTGTGTATGAAAATAAATTAAATGGACAAAAATGGACCCATCAAGGAATGCCACTTGAGGAACCATGCCAGGCGTAGCTTTTTCTGAGCACCTCTGTATAACATTACAATCATATGAAAATTTGAGGCCAATTCTTGCTTCATCTGTAAAAGAAATTCGTTCCCAAACTTCCAATGTCCTGTTCGCACATTCCCAGCGAATTGTAGCCAGGCCATTTTCTGAGCTGTGGCAAGAAGTCCATGAGCAGGGTGGCAGGCCCTGAGGTTATTTTCATTTTAATTATTCAGAAATCGTGAGATGCGGTCTGGTGTGATGTAAGTTTCAGAAAACCATTTTCTTTATCGTGCCAACGTTTCAATCTTTATTGAGATTATCTTCAGGGCCTGGTATTTACAAACATTGTTTAAATTTAACAAATATCCTACATTTATTTGTTAAATTTAAACAATGTTTGTAAATCCCAGGCCCTGAAGATGATCTCAATAAAGATTGAAATGTTGGCACGATAAAGAAAATGTTTTTCTGAGACCTACATCACACCAGACTGCATCTCACAATTTCTGAATAATTATCGACTAACGGTCACTAATCACCACACGTTATTTTCATTGAGCTTTCTTACAGTCCTGGAGGAATCAAAACGTTTCAGGCTTGTAATCAGATTTCTTATCCCATTTCACTTAAAGCTTGAGTTTCACAGAGCTTGATGAAGGACAAATCTATCATCTCTCTCATCCATAGACCTAGGTTGACCCTGTCCTGGCTTTCTATTGCGAAGCACTGTTTCTCTGAAGCACCGAGCCCTTCATATTTTAAAGTACTCTGTCTCCTAGCAACATCACACTCGCTGTATCCTTTCTCTAATAATGTTATGAACCTGCCACTGTCATACTCACTCAAATGCCTCACTTAATCCTTTGAAAAGATTTAAGAATAAAATTAATATCAAATGAAATCAACAAAGGAAAAAGATTAACTGAAGCTTATCATAATGGAAGGGCAGATGGTACTTTTTGTCCAAATGGGATTAATCAGTACAAAAGCAAACGAAGCATTATTTGCTGTTTATTTTGACTATGATTGCTCCTAATTACCTGTAAGTAATGTGGAAAAATAATTGATTTAATTTTAAGCTAAATAAATTGAGTGGTGCGTTAAATTTCAGTGTTACAGGGTTTTTTCCCATCCACCACCCAGCCGTACTGGAGGGAGAACAGGGGTGAGTATTACAGGGTTAAATGCCAATTCTGCCATGGAGGATTCACTAAATAAAATGTAGTACAGTGCCAACAGAACGAAATTTCTATCTTTCCTGAAATATAAACATTTTCGCAATTTTTGCCTAAAATTTTTTTTTTCTATAAAATCATAATTTCTCAACTTTAGGGTCATTAGAATACAAATCTAACCCTTATTACTCAAACTAAATTAAATTTTCCACAAGATAACATTTTATTGAAAAATTCGCGCTTCTGAATACACGGTAGCCATCCAAAGAATAACAAATGACAAAGTGCATTTTTTTTTAATACTCAATTTTAGCTCGTGCAATGACTTTTCCATCAAAATTTTTGAGGATTTCACCAAAGTTGCCTTATTTTATAAGTATTCCAAGGACATACTCACTTTTACTTTTTTTTAGAACTTTTCTTAGTGAAATATTGTTTGCGAGATTGAAAAACATGATATCGAACCTAAGGAGAGCAGCAACGCAAGAACATCATACGTTTCATATTTTTAATGAAAAATTTATTAGTTGGTAAAAAAAATCAGATTCATTCTTCACATAAAGTATACATAATTAAATAAAAATAAAAAATTACAAACTTATGTAAACAATCTGATTTTAGACTAAAATTTAAAAAAAGTTAATATCTCAGGAAAGAGTCATGTCCTGGTGACACTGAGGTATGCTTTATGTAGTGAATCCACCACGGCACTATTGACATTTATCCCTCTATATATGATTGTAAAATTAAAGGTTGATCTAGTAAGACAAATTTTAATATATAAAAACCAAAAAATTAAATAAATTATAATAATTGAGATAATAAGAAACATTGTATTTAGAAGTGAGTGGGCTGCTCGCGAATATTGAGTACCCCATCGACTCTCAATTACAAAGCAGCTATACAGGGTGATAAAGGAATATTCATGACTCTGTGGCCCTAATTTAGCAGTGAGAATATAGTAAAGAATATAATTAACTTATTTCAATTAATTATTATTTTTATGTAAGGTCTTGTGGCTGAGATGAAAAAGTGTCTCTGGTCCAAATAGGTCTGATGAGTGTTTTGTAAGCAGTTAGTTTGTTATGTATGCTTAGTTTTGTCTGAGTAGTCCATATCTTTTGTTAAGTTCTTGTCTTTTTAATCGTGTAAGTGGGTTCCAAGTAAGTCTACTATCTAAGTAAAGCCCAAGGTAGTGGACTTGGTTCGATGTTCGTAGTATTTTGTTGTAAATGTGCACTGGTGGACAGGTTTGTCGTTTGAGCGTAAATGTAACTTGTTGGCTTTTTTGTGTTTAATCTGATCCGCCACAGATTGCACCAGTTGGTAATAAGGTTCAGGTGTTGTTGGAGTGCTTCTGTTGCTAGGATAGGATTGGAGTGTGTTGATAAGATTGTGGTGTCGTCCACGTAGGTTGTGGTGTTTGGATGTGTGGGTGTCAGCAGTGTAGATGGTGTAGAGGATTGGACCTAGGATACGTCCTTGTGGAACGTCAGCTTTGATAGGTGAAAAATCGGTACCAATTCTTACTTTAAACCATCGATCTGAGAGGAAGGATTTCACAGAAGTAGGAATGAGGGAGGATACATTTTAACTTATAGAGGAGGCGGAATGCTTCCATAACGTCCAGAAATACGCCTGAGCAGTATTGTTTGTTTTCTAGAACCGAAGATATCTTGTCGACTACTCTGAAGCTACTGCTGAACAGTGAAATGGAGAGGTTGAAACCCAAATTGATGGTTAGGAATTACGTTTTCAGAGTCGAATATAGGAATTAGTCTTTAAGGAGGATACTTTTAAAGATTTTGGATAAAATAGGAAGGAGGCTTATTGGTCTATAAGAGGATGGGGCACTGGGGGATTTGTGTGGTTTTAATATTGGAGTTATTAAAGATCCACTGAAATGAACCACTGAACCATCCCTAAACAAGTAATTTGGTTAAATAGACCACTAAACATAAATGGATTAAGATATTTAACAATGAGTGAGAGTATGAATTAGGATAAAAACAGCTTGGAGCTGAAGTGGCATAACTGTTGATAGTCCTGGAGTTTAGCTTCTATGTGTAGAGAAGACAAGACCGAGATCAGGTCCGGTAGGTCTACTTCCGAACTACAAAATAAAAATTAATGAAAGAAATGACTTTGCAATTGAACCTGTCAAGGTTTGATTAATAGTGCGAAAAGACTTTGCTGATGTTATCCATTTTGGGACGAGCAGTTTGGTTCAGTCATTGAATGGGATGAAATACACAAACCTGCGGATGTTGGAGCTGAGTAAATCAAATTTCCTCCAGTGAGCACGTTCCCAGAGATCAGGCATTCCACCTGCCAAGGAAACATGCATCTTACGCCTTTCTTTACATATTTCTGAAACGGACATTTTAAGTCTTTAAAAAAAAAAGATTTTGAAAGAAAAAGAAAGAAAACCGGCTGGACGAACCGCCAAAACATAGTCAGGCAATCCCCAAGATTCGAGTTTGAGCTTTTCCTCCCATGGTAGAGACAGATCGAGAGACATGAGGCCTGATGTGGAAGCCCATCCACCAGTCCACGATCCATCAGATGTTTATGCTTATGCTTATCGACGGCGAGCGTGTAACCTTTGGGCGGAAGTCTTATCGTCTTTCGGGCCGTTTCGGCCCGTTTCGCTCCCCCTTCTGTATAGTGCGACCGAGATAGGCCCAGAAGTTTACATTCTGGTGCGTTTGAGTTTGACATTGACGTTTGACGGTTTGTCGGCCTTTTTCTCATGGGTCTCGTCGTTCGACCGTTAACCCTTTTTTGTGGAAATGATTTACCTTATTTTCGATCGATGTTGGGAGATGTTCGATATGAAATTGTTTATTAATTGTTAATTTTTAAAAAAGAAGGTTTCTAAACGATTTCATGCCTGTAATAAAGTCCTGTTCGCTTCGGCAATTATTTTTGCAGACTTTTAACGGATGACAGCCAGTAAAATGCACTAGGTGAGGTGTATATTTGTATTTTAATCATTTCCTTCGAGTTTTTATTATTATTATTTGTTTAGTTTTGAAAGGGAAAATACAATGATGTTTGGCATACATAAAAGATGACACAGTAGCCTACATTTTGTGCAGTCCCCTTTCTAAAATTAATTGATCTTCTCTAATGCATAATATAAGGCTTTACAGGACTAATGACAATATTTTCTCTTGCCAGAAGTTATAAGTAAAAATAACTTTAAAGCATTTAGCAAAAAAAAAAAAAAAAAATTTTTGCTGTTTTGAACATTGTTCAAAAATCTCTGCAAAGCAAATGTATTGGCACATTAGTTACCAAAAATTACCAAATAACAGCCAAAAGTTATTACAAAAAAAAACTTTAAAGTCAAAAGTTACATTAAAAAATTAACAGAACAAAGAAAATGATTTGAATGTTACTCTGTTTAAGTTTTTCCTCCTGTTTTTATTGTAATAATTCACAGGGCTCATCTTATAGTCATTTAAAGGAGAACTAGTTTTAGTTATTTAAATTTGTTAATTCTTGATTTAAAAACATAAGCAATTTTTTTTAAGTTATCTGAAAATGCTTTTAAGTTTCACAGTTTAATTGCCATCATTTTATATAAAATAAAAGTGTGCAAATGTGTAAATCAGATAAAAGTTATTTTAAAATTACAAAAAACCTGAAAGTATGCTTTAAAAGTTTGATTTTTTGTGCTGGAAAATGTTTTAATTGAAATATACATTTCTCATGGATAATACAGTCAAAATGTCTAATTTTATTAAGGATTAGTTATTTAATATTAATAATCCTTCTTGATTTAAAAATGTGCATAAGCAAATTAAGCTTTCTCATGTTTTTAAAAAAATATGTTATCTGACAATGCTTTAAAGTTTCACATTTTAATTCTTGTTATTTCGTATAAAATAAAAACAGACCCAGTTGAAAGTGTGTAAATGAGATAAAAGTTATAAAATGACAAAAAAAATCTGAAAGTATGATCCAAAAGTTTGATTTTTTGTGCTGGAAAATGTTCTAACTGAATCATTTCGGAGGGCTGATCTTATGTACATTTCTCATGGATAATACAGTCAAAATGTCTAATTTTATTAAGGATTAGTTATTTAATATTAATAATTCTTCTTGATTTAAAAATTTGTATAAGCCAATTAAGCTTTCTTGTTTTTAAAAAAATATGTTACCTGACAGCGCTTTAAAGTTTCACATTTTAATTCTTATTTCATATAAAATAAAAACAGACCCAGTTGAAAGTGTGCAAATGAGATAAAAGTTATTATAAAATGACCAAAAAAAATCTGAAAGTGTAATCCAAAAGTTTGATTTTTGCGCTCGAAAATGTTATAATATTTTGCAGGGCCGATCTTATATATCTCTTGGATAATACAGTCAGCATGTCTAGTTTAATTAAGGACTAGTTGTATAATAACTAATAAGCAAATTAAAACATTTTAACGTTTTAAAAAAATATGTTATCTGACAATGCTTGAAGTTTTATGTTTTAATTGTTAATAAAATAAAAAAAAGGACCAGTTGGAAGTGGGCAAATCAGATAAACGTTATTATGTTATAAAAAAAACTGAAAGTGTGCCATAAAAGTTTGGTTTTTGTGCTGAAAAATGTTCTAATTGAAACATTGCGGAGGGCTGATAGATAGTTTATATTAATTAATTATTATTTTCATTTTTTCTGTCATTTTACTTGCTTTTTATATATATAAATTCTTGTTTGTTATATATTGAATTTTGAATCAATATTTTCTTTACCTCAACTAAAAATTTGTTTTTCTCTAATTTATTTAATTTTCCAGGTAATTTGTTATGAAGTTTCTGTGAAAAGACCTCAGGGCTATTGTTTGTTTTTGTTTTTTTGTACGTTGGTATTACAATGTCTTGTTCATTTCTTGCATTTAACCTTGTTTTATGACAGACTTTCAATTATTTATATTTTCTTTTACAAATTTTAGGTTTAAATAAATATTCAAAGCAGGTACCATCAATATATTAAACTCTAAAAAGTTGTTTACAGCTCTCTTTTTGCTTTCCATTAAATATTATTCTTAATCCATATTTGCTTAGTGTCACAATTGACCATATTAATTATTCTTTTTATCTAAGGTTTTTGGTTGAGATGAAAAATTAGTGCAACACGTGGGATTCGAACCCATGACCTTCGGCTCATTATGCCGCTGATCTAACTACTTGAGCTATCATACTTCGATCCCCTCGGACACCAACTCATCTCAACCTACAACTGTTTGAATTTTTCCTCTTTTTCGTCATATTTTCAACTGTTGTATAATCAGGATTCGATTCTCAGTGAATTATGAAGTGGCCACAAGGTTAATAATGTAATTTCTATTTTTCTATTGTTTTTTTACTATCTACTATCTATAATAAAACCTAAGATTTTAATGTGTGCTTCTTAGTGACCGGTTGTTTCATAATTTGTTGAAGTCCGTTTTTTTAAAAAGATGTTCCTACTCACATTAAGTTTTAATGTTATTGATTGTGTTATAATCCATTACTGCTTTGACTAGCAAATTAATATAAATTATGAATGATGGAATGAGTTTGGAGTTCAATCCATCATTCATAATTTCTATTTGTTGAAGTCATGAGGAGCAGTCAAAAATGAGTTAGTTTAGAAAAACACATTTTTATTTTATTTTATTTATTTATTTATTTTTTTTTCTGAGGTTTTGACCTTTATTCAGGTCATCTTCAAGGCATAAAGTGTGGTGCTATTTTTGTGGTGTCATATTGGTTTTGTGTGAAAGTGTTGTGACACATGTCATATTTAGCACTAAAAAAATTGCATTGAAATAGTCATAAATTAATAACAACTTTAAAGCATCAATACGACAGTTTCATAAAAAGCTGGTGTCATCACTGGAAAGTCAAAATATCCTTATTTAAATGACTTAAATATACATTTAAATTATTTACATAAATAATAAATGATTTCTGAATAATAAATAATAAAAATATATCGGGCTCAAAATAGAGCCCTGGACACCCTACCTTTACTAGATGAGGTATTATTTACTGTCACAAATTGACCTCTGTCATTTATAAAGTGTAAACAAAAGTCCAGTGAAGATCCCCTTATACAATAATGGTACAGTCTGATCTTATATACATTTCTCTTGGAAAATATAGTCAAAATGTCTAGTTTAGTTAAGATTAGTTATTAATATTATTAATTAATTCTTGATTTAAAAACATGCACAAGAAAATTAAAACTTTAATGTTCCTTGAATTAAGTCATCTAACAATGCTTGAAGTTTCACATTTTAATTGTTTATTGTCATTTTATATTAATTAAAACAGTAAAAAGTTGCACAAAAATATTGGAAAATCAGCCAAAAGTTGCTATAAAATGACAAAATATTATGTGAAAATATGGTCCAAAAGTTTGGTTTTTGTTCTGAAAAATGCTCTAATTTCAGTGCTGATATTTTATACACTTTTCTCGGATAATACAGACCAATTGTCTAATTTAATTAACATTATTTTTTTAATTTAGTTAAGTATTTTTTATTTAAAAATGTGCAAAGCAAACTGAAATTTTAATATTTCTAAAAAGTATGTTACATGACAATGCTACAAATGTCACATTTTAATCATTAATCATCTATTTAATATAATATAAAAACAGTATAGAATCTCAGAAATGTTTGACAAGCAGCCAAAAGTGTGAATTTTTATACTGAAAAAAGTCTCAATTATTTCAGTGGCTCTTCATTGACTTAAATTCACACAGTCGATAACAGTTTTCTTCGATAATACAGAGAAAAAAAATTTAATTAATAAAATTTATTGTTTAATTTTCTTAATTTAAAATACTGCATAAATTTAAACTTGAGTGTTCCCAAATGACATGTGAAGTATACATTTTACTCGTTGATCATCTTTTCATAAAAAAAATAAAATAAAGTAGTATAGACTTATGATTAAGTGATTAAAAAGTGGTAGTTATTGTTAATTTTATAAAATATTATATACATTGAAAGGTTATATACAATGTACTGATTGTCTGCAATATAGAATTTTTTGCATTAAATTTTTTTTAATATATTTGAAAATTTTCATAAATTTTGAAGATGAAATATGTTATTGAGACTTTAATTGATTATTTTATTTTTTATTTATGATCTCAAAATGGTTTGCTTGATATGTTTTGTAAAAAATATTGTTAAGCTAATACCAAGGCTGCTTTTGTTGTACAATTACGTAAAGTAGCTAAATTAATTTCAAAATGTTAAATTTTTGGTTTGCTTTGCTAATAGATGGATTATGAAGTAGTAGTGTAGATTAATTTTTTAGTACACCTAAATAAGTACTTTGCTTTTCTATTTCAGATAATAAAACTCTCTCAGATGGCAACATCAATAATTGAAACTGATGTTACAAAACTTGTTGAAGCTACAGAGAAAAAATTGTTCTATTGTAAGCTGTGTTACTACAAAACAACTTGTCCAGGAGTGTTGAAAGTTCACGAGCTGATCCACCAAGCAGAAAATTTTGATAAGAAAGAGAATAGAAATGACAGTGACAGTTGTGGTCAAAATTGGGACAGAAGATGCCTGAGTTATCGAATTTGTCCAATCTGCATGTATAAGTGTGGGAGGACAGGCAACATGGCCAGGCATATACGAACACACACTGGAGAAAAACCATTCTCTTGTATGGAGTGTGATTACAAATGCACAACTCTTGGCTCCTTGCACAGACACTACAAGGTACATACAGGTGAAAAACCATTTTCCTGCACAGAATGTGATTACAAATGTGCACTGGCAGATACACTAAGAGAACACATGAAAAAACACAGTGGTGAAAAGCCTTTTGTATGCAGTGTCTGTGGATACAAGTGTACGAGGGCTGGCAACTTAGATAGACATATGAGAAAGCATACTGGAGAACGACCTTACTCATGCCCTCATTGTGGTTATAAATGTTCTCAAGCGGGTAATTTAAAAGAACACATAAAAACTCATACAGAAGAAAAACCGTTCTTCTGTACAGAGTGTACCTACAGATGTACAAGAGCTGCCAATTTAGACAGGCATATGAAAATTCACCCTGGAAAACAGTTATCATGCCCTAAATGCCGATACCTAACACTTTCCGCAGTCGATTTTCAAAAACACTTCAAAACTCATTTTCAGAAGCATTATTTTGTATGCACTATTTGTCAGTATAATTGTTTTGATCCGGAAGATTTTGATGGGCATCAGTTTATAAAGAAAAATGAAAAGGGTGAAGTAGAAAATAAAGGAAGCCCTAAACTTTGTTCAGGTTCAAAAATGCTACACTGTAGTCGATGTGATTATGTATGTTATGAAATGCTAGAATTAAGCATTCATATCGCCAAGCACCCGAAGGAAGAATTCCCTGACATGAAGCAGGAAATCAGAGCTCAATTAAACTCGGTGACAAACACTTTTTTAAAGTACGGCAGGAACAAAAGAGAATTAGGTATTAGGAGTTTGCCCGATACGAGAACGACCAAAGGTAAAATGCGATGGAAGTTAGAATCTCTTGATCACAGGCTCCTCGAAAATAGAATAAATGGTAAAAGCTGCACTGCTGGGAAAGAACCAGTCGTCTGTGTAATATGTGGCCTTGTGTGTATCTCACTAGAAGAACTGAAGCAACATTCCACCATCCATAAGACTGAACACTACATCGAAATTTCTTCTCAAAATATCAAATCACTTGTTTGTTTACAATGTGAACATTTAACTGGAGACGACCTCGAAGAGCATAAACGTTCTCACAAAGACCAACAAATAACTGTTAAAATTTCTAATGGCTACGGAAATACCATTAATTAAAAAATTCTATTTATAACTTGTTTATTTAAATGTTGTTGTTAAATTATTCTGGAGTCTATTTGTTTTGTTTAAATATTTTATTACACTATTTTTAAAAGAAACAGTTGTATTTTTTATAGATATTAAACCATTAACTGAATTATTGTTAGAATAAATTGCTTCTATACAACTTAATCTTCAAATAAATATTTTATTAATGTAGACTATATAGGCAAATGGTTGAATAATTTCATTTTGATTTAAATCATTTTATTTTATGGAGAATTAATGTACTTAGCAATTTTTTTAAGGTTTCCCGAAAAGACATTTAGTTACCGTTCTTTCTCAAATTGATTATCACATGAAGGAATGAAGAATTTTTTTGTTTTGTTTATTTTAGTTTTCTTATTTTTTCCTCCAAAGTAAAGTTAATTAAAAACTCAACTAATGCAATATTATTTTCTAAATATAAATTTATAATATCTCTCACTTATTTCTGCTATTAATTAGAATAGTTATTAACAAGGGAGGGATTTTTAAAATTGGTTTGAATTATTTTCAGTGCAAAGAGTAATTCATGAGAAAGTTGGTTTATAATGTAATTTATTAATCTTTATGTAAGGTATTGGTTGAGATAAAGATTAATTAATTGAAAGACGTTATCTGCTCAATCGGACCACGAATGGTCTAATGGATTTAGTAATTTATTAATATTTTATTAGCTTTTTAAATTGCTTAATTTTGTTAATACATTAATGTATTTCTTAAAAGATGGAAAATAATGGAATGCGATACCCTAAAACACACATTTTCAAGTAGAAAAGTTTATTTATTCTAAGATTTATGATCCAAATAATGCAAATTGTGATTATTCCAGTTTTATTTTAATCTCAATTTACTCGATGTCTAGATCAAATTGTCATCTGATTAATTTCCTGATGATGTTTTCCAAAGTGTGTTTATAACCAAGTTTATCCCTTTTGATTTTCTTGTTTTAAGCTTAATAAGCCTTAAATTAGACATTTTCCTAGAAAACCGGGCAAGATATCAAGGAAAGTGTTATAAAAAGGTATAAAATATGGTTAAGAAGGTAAAATAGTATTTTTTTAAAACTACATTAGCAATAAAGTAAAAAATTCTAGATTCATTCAATTGTGATAGACTATATTAAATTTAATTGGTATCTACTTCACAGTATATATTTGCCAAAGATTGCTGTAGAAAGTTGAAACAGTTTTTATTTTTAAATTTTAAATTACTTTTGCATAAATAAGAGTTATAATTTTGACTTTTTATAAAGGCATAAAGATAGGTTGCTTGATTAACATAATTCATGTCGTTCTTTGGTTCCATATTAAGAGCATGTAGACATGCAACCCAATATAATTTGCTTTAGCACAAGTATTTGGGTACCTCGTTCTGATTTTTGGATGAAACAGGGCTGTTTTATTGCCTATAGTACCTACTTGATAGATGTTTTGTCTTTCTTTTTGAGTTGAAAATGAATGTATTGTATAATGAGAATTTTTAGTGCATTTATTACGATAGAATATTGTGTACCCCACCAGCTTTCAAATAGATTATTTCAATATACAGTGTAAAGGGTGATGGAGAAATATTGAATACTTTTTATGATATGTAAATGGAGAGATTGTACTTTAGTGTGAGTGGTTGGAGGCAGAAATAATCTAGGTATTGACAGCCTAACTTTGGCGGAAGGATGATTAAGACCAAGACTGCCAAAACCTGAGAAAGGTGATTCTGATATGTGTGCAGAGTTGAGCTTATATAAATCAGTAACTTAATAGAAATTACTTTGTTTTGTATGCTTTATACAATCTTGACAAAGTTGCTCAATTTCAGGACCAAACCATTATTAATGTAAGAAAAGCAGTCATAGTTTTGCAAATTTTCTATTACTTTTTTCTTTATGAGATTTTTTTTTCACTTTTTGTAAATTCTTCTACTCAGATTTGTTGTTTACAGCGATACGGATTTTGAACATTAAATGCACATCAACAGGTTGAAGGAGTTACAAACAGATCTCTCGACATGAAATGAGTCAACTCGCCAATGTTCCAGAGAGAAGCTGGTTTTAATGCCCAATTAATTAATGCCAATTCTGAACGTGTGAAAACGGTGAATTACAACATAAATAAATATTATCCTATTACTGTAAGAAAATCATTTTAAATTAGAATTGTATGTCAAATATTATTTAGGTACATGTTCAAAATAGAAAATAAATCAAAATCAATTTATATTAACCAATCTAGTTCTCACCCTTTGTTGAAACTGTGTAATACTGTTGTATTTAAATTGAAATTGAGTTTGGTTTAATTTAGATCTTAAATGCAGAAAATCTGTTCAATTCAGGCAAGTGTCTTTAGCTCATGATTAATTTCTCTGCCGCTTTGTCCTATATATTTAACATTGCAATCATTTATTAAGTTTGTAAACACTGCTTTTTGACAAGTTGTCTACCTTGTCTTTAGGTTTAGAAAGGATGTTTTAAATAAACACAATGAATGCACGCCTTTTAAAAAGATAGATCCTACTCTCACTAAGTTGTTTTCCAATGATCTGGATTTCGAGCTCTTAGTTCATCATCAGGTTGAGAACCCCTTCAACCTGATGATGAGCTAAAAGCTCAAAATCTGGAATGTTGGAAAACAACTTACTGTGAGTAGGAACTATCTTTTTAAAAGGATTGAACACCAAATTCACTCCATCATTCATCATTTCTACCAATGAATGCACCCCTAAAAGTTACGCAAAAACCTTCTGGTTTGTGAATTTTACCTACTTTTCCTGATATTCCCCAATTTTTGGCAAGTAAAAAAAATCTAATCTATTTTTGGTGTGGTGGCTGAATCTAATTGTTGGTCCTTTTAAACTTAATTTTTTTACGTGTGTGCAGTATTTAGTGACAATTAATGATTATTTGCAGATTGTGAGATGCGGTCTTGTGTGATGTAGGTTTAAAAAAATATTCTTTTTATTGTGACAATGTTTTGACCTTTATTTAGATCATCTTCATGGCCTGGGATTTATAAACATTGTTTAGATTATCAAATAAATGTAAGATGCATATTGAATCTATTGTAAAATACATGTTTGAAACTATTTGGTTTCTTGAAAAGAGATACACAGAACTTTAATAGTATATTTTGCCTAAAAATATTGTTTTTTTTTTCTCTCTCTCTGTTAAGGCCAATTTTAGACTTTAAATCAGTAGTATGGTCACCTTATTATCACACTTATATTTATATAGACTTGAATCTGTTCAAAACAAATTTCTTAAATACTGTTCTTACAAACTTGGTCTAAATTCTAGTTGGATATCATATGAAACTCTTAGAAATGTACTGAACATTAGTTCATTAGAAGATTGTAGATCATCTATTGATATTGTTTTTCTTGCAAAACTTCTAAGGAATATGATTAGTTATCCAGGATTGTTAGAGAAGATATCTTTTAATGTACCAGATAAGAGGACCAGATTCACTCCTCTATTACTTATACCATTTTGTAAAACGAACTACCTAAAAAATGCTCTCATTCCTAGATTATGTACTAAAGCTAATCATTTAAATTGTGCTCTGGACTTATTCTATCCAACTCTTAACAAAATTAAAGCTGTAACTTCACATACTTTGAGTATGTGTACTGTTGTAAAATTGGCTGCTTGCCGTTGACGTAATAAATAAATAAAATGTGAAAATGAATTTAAACAAAGATGATTATTCAGGAATCGTGAGATGCGATGTGGTGTGATGTAGGTTTCAGAAAAACATTTTCTTTGTGCCAACGATTCGATCTTTATTGAGATCATTTTCAGGGCCTGGGATTTACAAACATTGTTTAAATTTAACAAATGCATGTAGGATGTGGAAAAAATGAAGTTATACAATGCTAGAGATTTTTAGATTTTAAAAAAGAATGAATTTATACAATGCTAGAAAATTTTAGATTAAAAAAATGAATTTATACAATGCTAGAAAATTTTAGATTAAAAAAATGAATTTATACAATGCTAGAAAACTAGATTAAAAAAATGAATTTATACAATGCTAGAATTTTTTTAACCTAAAATTTTCTAGCATTGTATAAATTCATTCTTTTTTTAAATCTAAAATTTTCTAGCATTGTATAAATTCATTTTTTTCACATCCTAAATGTATTTGTTAAATTTAAACAATGAAAGTATTTCTACTCATTCATTGATTATAAAAAATATATTTTTTGCATTGTATAAATTCATTATTTTTAATCTAAAATTTTCTAGCATTGTATAAATTCATTTTTTTCACATCCTACATGCATTTGTTAAATTTAAACAATGAAAGTATTTCTACTCATTCATTGAATATAAAAAATATATTTTTTGCATTGTATAAATTCACTTTTTTCCACATCCTACATGTATTTGTTAAATTTAAACAATGTTTGTAAATCCCAGGCCATGAAGATGATCTCAATAAAGATGGAAACGTGGCACGATAAAGAAAATGTTTTTCTGAAACCTACATCACACCAGACCGCATCTCACGATTTCTGAATAATCATTGACTAACAGTCACTAATCACCACACATTTAAACAATGATGTACACAATATAGAAATTTTATATTTAATCAACTTAATGAGTACAAATACTTTAATTAAACGTAAAATTTCTTTTATTTGTTATTTTATTAAAATTCCTTTATTTGCAAAAACTAAAGAATGTTTCTAAATCCCAGGTCTTGAAGATGATCTAAATAAAGATAGAAACATTGGCACAATAAAGAAAATGTTTTTCTAAACTTAAATCACACAAGACGTATCTCACGATCTCTAAATAATCATTCATTTAACCAAGACCTTATGTAAAAAGATTAATTAATTGAAAAAAAGGAATTTGGTCAATCAGAACGCTAAATATAATGTATTTAATAATCGGTAATGTTTTACTTTTTTTTTTACTTGCAACCTATTGATAAATATTTCTTGATATGCATTGTTTTTGTCAAGGTTTTAATTGTTTGTAATTATTTTTTATAATTAGCACGTGTTAATGTGAGTTTTGACATATTGTCCATGGGCCAAATGATTCCAGCAGCTTTTTGGGCCTGTGGGTGAGAACAGAGAAGAATCTGTTGGTATCAAGGTGTTTGTAGTTCTGCTTTTCTTTATACGTCTATTTCAATTAGGTAGATTATTTATTATGGACCGTTTTAAGTTTAAAACGTTTAAACAACCATCTTTATTTCCGATGTAATAGAGTGTAAAAAATTAACAAGTTGGAGGAATTAAATTATCTTGTAATTCGCGTTTTTTTTGCACGTTCAAAATTGAGCGGCGATAAAAGCCATCTTCTCATTGGCACGTCGCGTTGTCCGTCGATTGGCGGATTTACCTTACGTAAAACTGATGACGTGTTTCTAACTCATTACCTTCGTCCTGATGATGAGCGAATAATGCTCGAAATCTGGATCTTTATGCACTACAAATCCGTGAGTAGAACCTTTATTTACAAAAAGTGAGTCTTCATCATCCCACCATCATCATTTCTTCCGTTTTTTCTTTCTTTCAGAGAAAACAAGAAAACTGAATTGTATGCCTTGTAGCAAATGTGTGAACCAACTCGTGAAACATGATTAAACCTCCTAGTCAAATATGCGTATTAAGCCCGACCGAAATTTTAAAAAAGTTTAACACGGGCTTCGACAGTGATGTGAATAATGAAAACGAGATGAAAGAAGAAACAAAACTCGAGGATGAATTATTGCAAAATACTTCAAATGATACCGAAGAAAGAAATGTTTTTGAACAAGAGGACAAAATAAATCAAGAAAAACCACAGTCTTCTTATCAAGATTTACTTATTAAAAAGGACGAAACGATAGCAAACAAAGACAATGATTTTCACACGCTCCAGCCTGTAAATCAAAACGTATTGTCATGTAATAAACCCCATAAATGCTCTAAGTGCAATTTGACCTTTGCTTCAATTCAAGAGCTCCAAGATCATAAAAAATCACACAAGTATGACAAGCATTTTTGTTGCATAGAATGTGATTATCGTTGTTCGAGCCTGAGCAGTTTGACTCGTCATATAAGAACTCATACCGGAGAGAAGCCTTATTCTTGTGAAATGTGCGATTATTCTTCTGCTCAGGCATGCGATCTTGTGAAGCATAAGAGAAAGCACACGGGAGAAAAGCCTTACATTTGTTCTATCTGTGATTACGCTTGTACACAATCTGGCGATTTAAAGAAACACATGAGAAAACACACCGGAGAAAAACCTTTTTCGTGTACTTATAAAACGTGTAAGTTTACTTGCTCGCAAGGCAGCGATTTGAAGAGGCATGAAAAACGCCACTACAAAGAAAAACCATACAAATGTGCTGAATGTGATTTTAGCTGCAACGTTTACATATTTCTAATCAACCATTTGCAGAGTCATAGTGACAAATCTAATTTTATGTGTGTGAAATGTGGATTCATATCTCAGGATGAAGAAGGGTTGGATAAACACATTGCAAGCCACGATGTCAATGATGCCAATAGAAATGCAATTTATTGCACTCTGTGTGATTATAAATGCAGTCACCCTTCAAGGCTCAGAGATCACTTCAGGATACATTCAGGGGAAAGGCCGTTTGTTTGCAACCTGTGTAACGCTAGGTTCAAAATTAATTCAACTCTTAGGCGGCATGTGCTGACGCATTCTGGTGAAAAACCCTTCGCGTGTTCACAGTGCGAATACAGGTGTTTGAGAGCAGAAGACCTCCCGAGTCACATGAAAACACACACAGGTGAAAAACCATACAAATGCACTGATTGCGACTACACCTGTGCTCACACTGGTGCTCTTCGGCGCCACTACAGGAAACACACTGGTGAAAAACCTTACAGCTGTAAAGAATGTACTTTTACTTCTATTTGTGCTGGAAATCTTAAGAAACATATGAAAAAACATAAGAAAGATTAATCTACAAACAATAATTTAAGGGAATTTATGTTGTAATAAATACTTTATTTTTTCTTAATTTTACTTATGATTTTAGAAGGATAGAGGGATGAATATAAAAGCAATAAAAAGTTTTAATTTTTAGTTTAATTTTTAGGAAAGAGGATGATTTGAAAATCTAGATGACATTCAAAATTGAGTACTTTTTGAATTATAAGCTCTTTTTCTGATCACAACCATGAATAAGAATATTCATGATAAAAAATATTTTTCATTGGTTTAATTTTGTTATTGTATTTATAAATTAGTGTTTAAATAATTACACATTACAGCTTTTAAATGACATTCTTTGGATTTTTAAAAAAGTAGCAAATACAGCAATATGAATTGTTATTATTTTATTGTGAACAATGTTGTTATTAAATCCATTATATTTTGTGGTCTGATTGACCAAATAACTTCTTCCAATTAATTAATCTCTTTTATGAAAGGTATTGGTTGAAATGAAAAAGTTAGTGTCATGAGCGGGATTCGAACCCACGACTTTCGGCTCAATATGCCGCTGCTCTAATCATTTGAGCTATCGTGACTATAGCTCAAGTGGCTAGAGCATCGGCGTATTGAGCCGAAGGTTGTAGGTTCGAATCCCACTCAGCACACTAATTTTTCATTTCAACTAATACCTTTCATACGAATTAATACATAAGATTAATTAATTGTTGTTATTTTTAATTCAATTTTCTTGCTTGGTACATGTATAGGAAAACACCTTTTTTGGAAGAAGAGGTTAAGTACAAAAAGAAATATATCAAGGCACACAGAAATAATTCAAGTGGCAAAAAAAGTTGCCTTTCCTTTTTGTTTATTTCACATGATATATGTACACTGATAAATTAGATATCTGATATATTTTTTAAATTATAAAAGTATAAAAGTTCTATTTCAACACAAAGTAATAGAAAAGTAAATATAGGCAATTAGTTTTTGCTCGCTTAATAAAAGCAAGATGTGTTTCAGTTAGTTTTTAATTTTTTTTGGCTCTGTTGAGATCCATTTAAAATTAAAATGCTCAGTCTGGTCAGTTCAATTTAAATTAATCTCATGTCTTTTGATCCTTGAGTGCGATTTCCTCTTCTGGAGCTGCGACTTCCTTGTCTTTGGCCTTTCTGCAGGAAGAAATAAAATATAGTGCAATATTCTTTTCGTTCACTACCTTTTCATGATCAACTTTGCAACAGGGAAACGCATAAAAAGACAGTTACATTCAGGCATATATTTCAAAAATAAAATTATAGTAATTCATAGTGCATACAAAGCAATAGAAAACAGGCGAGTGGCATAGTACGTACATAAAATTTTTTTTCAAGTGTAAACCATGCATTGATAAAGGCAAGCATTATTTATACAAGAATCTTTACAATGTGCAGCACCCACAATTTTAAACATATGTTCAAGTGCAATTAAGTAAATAAACAAATAAAAAAAGTACAAAGTATATATTTATTCATGCATATTATCTTTTTTATCATTTTTACATGCCCAATCTGATACAAACAGAAACTATAGAAAGCATTAAAAGGAAAAAAGCAGAAGTGTTTTTATAAAATTTTCCTATTAATAAAGTTGCAACATTTAACATTTACTAAAAATCTTATGTGATCATGATCTGCCGATTCTCACCGAAAGAAAACAGATCAAAGATGATTGCGCTACACGTTCTTCACTGCATAGACATCAACACAGTATTTAAAAAATAATTTTCTATCAAAAAGTAATTGATAAATTTTCCAAATAGAATTTTTTTTCTCAGAAAGTAAGCGCTCTAAACTAATTTTCTATAATTAATTTAAAATTATAAGACAGCAAGCTGGCATATAATTTCATCCCTTAAGCCATACATACAAGCTTACATATTTACATACACAGAAGAAAACATTAAAACAATCTTAAAGAATGTAGGCCTAAAAAAATCATAAAGCATGTCGGCCGCATATTCACCAAGTAGTACTATAATAAAGCCGCAAAGATTTTTTTACAAAAGCTGAAAATATTTCTATTAATTTCGTGTATTTGGTATAAAAATAACATTGATATATAAAAAAAGCCTGTCATGTCTAAATTTTAAGAAAACATAATTTTAACTTAAAGAATGTTGGCCTAAAAAAAAGCATAAAGCTTGTCGGCCACATATTCACCAAGAAATACTATACAACAATAAAGCCACAAAGATTTTTACAAAAGCTGAAATTTTTCCTATTAGTTTCATGTATTTGGTATAAAAATAATATTGATATAAAAAAGCCTGTTGATGTGTAAACTTTGAGAAAATAATATTTTCTCGCATCACTCCACTTCGAAGTGTTATAGAGCAAAAAAAACTTTTAGGAGGTTGTTTGATGTTTAATTGTCATATTATTGTTGTTAAATTTGAGCTGTAAACTGCCATTATCTGATTTTATAGTATCTATAACTTCTGGAAATGTGATGCTTTTGATTTAAAGTTTTATTATAAACATTCAGTAAACTTGGAATTAGTTTAGGTATACCTACGAGTCAAATTTAATTTAAAATATAGTTTGATTTGCCTTTAGTAAATTTCATTCAGACAATCAGCTAAACATTACATTGAAAAAGAAAAATGAAGATAAAATCCATTAAATTGAAATAAATCCTTACCAAGATAAAAAAAAGAAGAAAAAACTTTCATCATGCTATTTTCATGCGTACTACTACATTCAAAATTCTACATTACCCGACCTCAGAATAATTTAGTATAATAATTGTAATATGTTTAAGACTTACTTTCCAAACTGTTCACCATCTTCAATTGTCTCTGGTAACCTTCTGTTCAAAGTTTCTGGGAGGAGCAAAGCTGAAGAGCCACTCACAAGCGCCATTGTTCCAAAGATAATCAACGGTAGAGGAGCCCAGATTTCAGCCTTAAAAAATTTAAATATTTAAAAAATTAGAACTGAAAGTAGCGACAATTGTAAAATTTGTCACCATATAGTTGACATATGGGGCTAAAATTCCTCCCACTCTTGCAAACGTCGATCCAGCGCCAAGACCTACGTTTCTTATAACTGTCGGAAACTGCTCAGCAGTAAATACATACACAGTTCCATATGAAGCGGTGATGGCTAGTTTTCCTCCCATTGCCAGGGTAATGCTCAGCCACTCCATATCTAAACAAAATTCTTCTTGTTTGATTTTATCTTATAAAATTGTACACTTTCAAACCTTTTGGCACGAATACTGTCCCTAATAGACAGATTCCTGAAACAATCATGGCCCCACAGAGAATTATCTTTCTGCCCCATTTATCCAAAGTAAAAATTAGAAAAAGGTAGGCAGGGACTTCGACTGCACCAGAAATGATAAAATTCACATATTCATTTCCTCCTAAATTGGATGTATTCCATGACAGACCATAATAGGTACCACTATTAACAAACCTGTAAGAAAAATCACATAAATGAATTTATTCTATTGTTTTTTTCATTGTAATAATAAAACATACCATAAAAAAAATATAACAAGTGATTTTTGCCTAAGATTTTTGTGTTTGAACAAGTCAAACAATGAGGGCTTTTCTCCTTTAGATATATTGCTTTTTCTTTCTGCTTCTGTTTGTGCAAATAGATCATTAACAAGATTTTCATCCAGGTGTTTTTTATTTTCTTTAGCTACAGCGGCAAGTGTATCCCTTGCCTCTTCTGTTTTTCCTTTTGTCAACTGCCACCTAACTGATTCTGGAATGAACCTGATGGAAAATTAAGACCAAATCTCTAATTAATTAAATGTATTAGAGAACGATAGTCTGCGATTCTTACCACCAGTAGGAAAAGAACACAATCCCTGGAAGAGTCAGTGCCAACTGGAGCATTCTCCAGTCTTTTATTAAATAAGCGAAGCCTGCGGTTAGTACAAAACCGGCAGTGAAAAACAACTGAAACGCAACTCCGGCAAACATTCTAAACTTTGGTCCCACCATCTCCATTGCTAAGATGACAAGTTCATTAAAGAAAGTTTGGAAAAATGTCTTTAAAACAATATTATAAATTGATTTTACCAATTACATAAGCTACGAGAAAAACGCCAGATGTTGTCGAACCAACGATCAACCTTGCGATCATGTACGAATACACATCTGGTGCAATAGCGACAAGTATTCCAAAAACTACTTGAAGAACTAGTGATATAAAAAATATTGGACGGCGTCCAACCCTGAAATAAAATTAAAAAAAAAAATTAGACAATAAACTACTAATCAAAGAAACAAATTTCTGGAATTTTGGAGTCAAATTGAAAAGGTTAGATAATAAAACCAGATAACATGTATTAATTCTCTTTTGATTCAAAGAGAGGAACATTTGAATAACTGGCACATAGAAGTACCTTAGAAGTCATTTTTCACCTGTCCGATAAGTCGCCAAAGATGATCGACCCTAGCATAACTCCAACCATTAAAAGAGCATCTGAAGTAGCCCTTAGCCAGGCTTTATCACAAACCAAGTCCCACTGAAATATTTTACATTATCAACCATTGAATAAAATTATTACAAAAAAAGAAAATAAAATAAAATAACCTGAGTAACTGTTGTTCCTTTATAAATGGAATTATCATATACCCACTCGGAACAACTTATTGTTTCATTAGAGTGAGTTAGTAAATAATCTGTGTCGTTAATGTCATATCGAAGGCAAGACGACCATTGGTTAAAGGTAGGGTCAAAAGGGTACGACATTTCCTTCAAGCCCTCTGTTATATTGTATATAGCGTTGTCATCTTCCCATGGCATGCGGCATCTGAACAGTTGAAACAAAACTGAAATTTATGATCTGCATAACATAGAAAAAATTTGACAAAAATTCATAATTTGCTAACCTCTATCTTTTCAGGGTTTTTAATTTGAAAAATCAAATAAATCATAATTGCATTAAAAGGCAAAAATTAAAACATCTTACTCTCTAGTGGAGAAAACTTATAAACAAAGTGGTTAAAAAGTTTCTTTTAATTGTTTTTAAATTGAAGTCCTTTATTAATTGCACGTTTAAAAACAGTACATCACTTTAATTCCATGGGTATTTTTTTAATTAAGACACCCAATTAGTTGAAACTTGCCTTCAAGGCTGGTTTTCAAATTGTTATTAAGAAAAGATAGGACTTTTTCGCGTTTTCAGATATTCCTTTTTTTAACCAACAAAATACAATGTAAAACAACACTAGTGTTTAACAAGAAACATTTTCATGAGTATATATATTACTGTAACACACATGTAAAATTTTTCGATTTTGATTATTTAAAAAAATGTTATGCATGAAAATTGGTTCTTTATTTTAACCATTGTGAAAATGTACATTTTTAATACAATTGATTATAATGAATTTCACATTTTCAGATATTCCTTTTTTGACAATAAAATATAGTGTAAAACGATAAAAGTTTTAAACAAGAAACATTTTACATGAATATACATTATTGTAACACACATGCAAAATGTTTCAATTTTTTTAAATGTTATGTATGAAAATTGGTTCTTTATTTTAACAATTGTGAAAATGTACATTTCTAATATAATTGATTATTCTGAATTTCACATTTAAAGATATTCCTTTTTTTTTGCCAACAAAATACAATGTAAAACAACACCATTGTTTAACAAGAAACATTTTACGTGAATACACATTATTGTAACACACATGTAAAATGCTTCAATTTTAATTATTTTAAAAAATGTTATGTATGAAATTGTTTTTTAATTTAAAATAAAAAATAGAAGCTGTAAACTAGGCCTAGGGACTGTATGGCTTCTTCATAAACAAAGATAATAAATAAATAAGATAAAAAATAGCATATATGTAAATAACTTTCTAGAAGATTTAAATTTGTCAGGGGGACAGGGTCTCATTTGGAGGAGAGAGTGCATGCGTTTTCATTCATTGATCAATACCGACTTAGGGGAAAATACGTATTTAAAAGACAGTTCACAAAGGTGTTTTATGTCTCTAATAATGAAAACTAGGAGTGAAATGTTAAATTAAAATTGTTCATACACTAGAAGTGAGGAGGGGCAAGTGTTCTCTCTGCAGTATGTTAGCAGATGAAACTTTCTTCCATTTTGTGTGTCTGCGCAATTCTGCGGAAATACAGAAAAACTTTTTTACACGCATTCAAATTAAATTGGAATACATTTCTCGAATATTTAAATGGACAAAATTGGCAGGGACTATGCAATTATATGCATTCAAATACAGAAATTAACTGACACAAGAATTTAATTATTAAATTAATATATTTAATTATTTATTTATTTAATTATTTATTCATCTGTTTATTTATTTATTCTCGTGTTTTACTATTTGAATCCTTAACTTGTTAATGTTGTGTTAATGGTATTCAAAGTCTATTTATTTTGTGAATGTTAAATGAGTACTGTATACAATATTTATATATGTATTTATGAATAGTTATGTGTTATAAATGGGCTATGGACATATATTAAACTAATTTATTTGTTACATTTTGAGAAAATGTTTATATATGTACACTTGTTTATTGTATTGTTTTTTTTTTGTTTTTTTTTTTTAGTTGATTTAATAAAGGATTCAATGCTTCTTATATATATTATATACATATTATGTGTGCCATCTTCCATGAGACAGATGATATCTCAAATGTGTATCTGCTTTTTGTACAGTTCATATTTGTATGTTGTTATTTTGAGGAAAAGAAATAAAAAGCATTTATGTTTTATTCTAATTGGTTCGTTATTTTAACAATTATGAAAGTGTACATTTCTAATAAATTGATTATTTTCTGAATTTCACATTTTCAGATACAGTGGAAACCCGTTTATCCGGACCCATTTGTTAAAATATTTTTTTTATAAATTATTTCGAGATGTGGTCTGGTATAGTAGTGTATAGTGGTATAGTCTCACGATCTCCAAATAATCATTAGTTAACGGTCGCTAAACACCACACATTATTTATGAATTTTTCATAATTCTCAATGTATGGATATTAATTTTTTAAAATTTATATTTCAACTATGGGACCTTTAATTCGTAATTCAAAATTCATAAAGGCCACCAAATCACTTTTCCACTAGTCACACGATCAAAGAGTGGGAGAGGCCGACAGTCACATTTTTGTTAAAAAAAAAAATTAAAAAAAAAAATAAATAAAACAAACAAAATACATAAATAAAATAAAAAATGGAAAAAATAAAAAAAGGTGTAAACTATTTTAAAACACTAGAAATTGTTGTGTTGTGTTATTCGTATGTTGGCTTCCATTGAAAAGGTTTTTTTATTACGTATATATTTTTATTAGGTATTTTTACATATAAATTTTTCAAGAAATGCGTGTCTGGATTTAAACAAAGATAAAACTAATAAAAACTATCTGACTTTAAATGTAACATGATATATGAAAAAAGTGTTCACTTTCTTATGTGTGTTTTTTTCTGTTTTTATGACACTATATATTTTGCACGGTGGGCGACCAAGACCTGAGGGGTTAAATGCCTGGGTAGATTTGTACCCCATCCCTGAAAGGTCCGGGACTTGGTCAGCTCGACACGATACTAATAAAATCACAAATTTTCTGATTATCCGGACAAGTCCCAGTCCCTTTAAGTCCGGATTTCTACTGTATACCTTTTTTTGTCGATAAAATACAGTGTAAAATGACACAAGTGTTTAACAAGAAACATTTTGTATGAATATACATTATTGTAATTCAAATGCAAAATGTTTCAATTTTTTTTTAAAGTTATGTATGAAAATTGGTTCTTTATTTTAACAATTGTGAAAATGTACATTTCTAATACAATTGTTTATTCTGAATTTCACATTTTCAGATACGGTGGAAATCCATTTATCCAGACCCCAATGATCCGGACTCCTGTATTATCCAGACCCGCTGTTAAAATATTTTTATAAGTTATTTGGAGATTGTGAGATGCGGTCTGGTATAGTAGTGTATAGGGGTATAGTCTCATGATCTCTAAATAATCATTAATTAACAGTTGCTAAACACCACACATTTTTTTAATAAATTTTTCATAATTCTCAATGTATGTATATTAATTTTTTAAATTCATAACTCAACTATGGGACCTTTAATTTTCATTCAAAATTTGTAAAGGCCACCAAATTGCCCATCCACAACATGATCAAAGAGGTTAAAAAAATAAAATAAATAAATAAATAAAATAAAAATAAAATAAAATATAAAATAAAAAAAGGTGTATACTATTTTAAAAGACTAGAAATAGTTGTGTCGTGTTGTTCATATGTTAGCTTCCATTGAAAAGGTTTTTGTATTAGGTATTTTTACATATAAATTTTTTGAGAAACTCGTGTCTGGACTAAAACAAAAATAAAACTAACAAAAACTATCTATTACTTTTAAATGTAACTTGATATATGAATAAAAGTGTTCACTTTAGTATGTATGTTTTTATGACACGATACTAACAAAATCACAAATTTTCGGATTATCCTGACTTTTGATCATCTGGACAAGTCCCAGTCCCTTCAAGTCTGTATAAACGGATTTCTACTGTGTACCTTTTTTGCCAATAAAATACAGTGTAAAAACGACACAAGCGTTTAACAAGAAACTTTTACATGAATATATATTATTGTAGCACATGCAAAATGTTGTAATTTTTTTTTAAATGTTATGTATGAAAATTGGTTCTTTATTTCAACAATTGTAAAAAGTACATTTCTAATATAATTGATCATTCTGAAAAAGCATTCTCTTTGTATCACTTTTTTACTTTTTTAAAAATTCTTTGTGAACAAGATTATTCTATCTTATCAGAATTGAGCCACATGGAGTGTCGACAAATAAGCCCAATTTTATTTCATTCAAGAGCTAGGGCAAGCCGCTTTTTAATAAAAATTCGATAGATATACGACTACCTATCTCCCCAGGCCCAGGGTCAATGACTATAATGTATGGGAGCTCCTAATATAGATATTATACACTTACACATCAGTTATACACGGAAAACCCGGTAACAGATTGCAAAATCGATTTAGAGTTGGGTACTTTCGTCAAAAAAATGTTAATTAATGAAGTAATTTAATGTTAGAATAAAGAGGCAAAAAGTATTCGCATTTTTTGTCGATTTTACGTCGGCATTCTACACGTTGACCGACATTCTCTTATCTTTAAATTATTCGATCTTGGTCTTACTTCTAAATTAATAAAGTCAATTAAAAATTTGTTATGCAATACATCTGCCAATGTGTGGATGGGATTTCTCGAAATTTTATACCGAAATGGGAGTGAGACAGTGCTGCTTGCTCAGCCCAACACTTTTTTCATTATATATTAATAATTTGGAGGCATGCTTAGATGGTGTGTGTGCGCGCGCGCGCGCGCGCGTGTGTGTGTGCGCGCGCGTGTGCGTGAGTGTGCGTGCGTGCGTGTGTGTGTGTGTGTGTGTGTGTGTGTGTGTGTGTGGAGGGTAGTGGCAGAATCAAGTTGGCTTACGCAGATAACGTAGTTTTACTCGCCTCACACCCTGCCTCTTTGCAGGGAATGATCAGGTCTAAATTTAAATTATTAATTAATTTGTTTAGCATGTTATTGTTTTAATCTTATTACTATTACAACAGGTGTAAATAATCAGTCGCAGACCTATGGGCTACTTTTGCCTGAAGAAATACCCCGGAAAGCTTGTGGAGGGCGCAGGATATCGCCGGTAGGCATAGAAGTAGGTATATTCGCTTCTGGTACCTCCCAAATTGTCCTAAACTTATGATGACGTCGTCGTAAGCCATAGTTCCTGCCTTTACAGCGGCTTTCTCGTGTCTGGAAAAAAAAATTATAAGTTATCATGACCATAAGAAAAACACTCGGAATCATTGTAATAAAGCTGAGAAAGTACTGTTAAAAAATGATTGTACGATAGAGTTAAAAGAATCATTTTAATTGAAATGATAACCTTGTTGAAAAAATGATAAAGTGGATTAGTTAGCAAAATAATACAATATGCTATCTACACGTTATGATCATAATCAATAACCACGTGTTTTTTAAATTTAAATTTCTGGTTTTATTCTTCCGTTCTTCTTCTTGTCGATTAGAATGGGGTTAAGACAAAACATCTTTGTACCTTTATAGTAACATATAACAATTAGTTTGGCCGTAGTGGTCCGCCTGTTCTCGCTGTGTCGGCCGGATGGGATTCAGCGACACGACTCGATAACTCAAGACGAAGAGAATGTAAAAATCAATTGCCAATAAAAACTCACAATATCATTTTATAAAATTAAAAACGTAAAATTAATGGGAGAACGAAAACAGCGAGACTAGGCGGACCAGAGTGATCAAAAATCTATTAAACCTAGGTTAATTGTTTAAAAAATTCATGTTGCCTATGTTATTAATTATTAATTATTAATGGCACTTTAATCTTTGATTTTGTTAATATTTTAATTTCAGACCCCTACGCTATTACCTCTGACTTGTCACCACAGAAGTTTATGGTTTTTACTTTTATTAAATAATCATCCAAGGAATTTTTTAAAATAAATATTTATTTCAACGAGATGTAATTAAATAAGATTTCAAGTTAATGGGCAGAAAAAGAAACAGTTATTCAACTCCACTGATAAAGCACGACGATCCAAAAAAAAAAAAAAAAAAAAAAAAAATTAGCTGACAATTTCCCTCCGATATATCTCAATAGCCAAATTTAAATTATTTTGAACAACTTTACAAAAAGTTTCATAGTTTAATAACCATTGCGTGTATTATTTACCTAAATTAATGTTTCTATGCGAGAAACGATGCGAGTTAAAAAAAATGTTTTATTTAATATAAAACTTACAAATTAATTATTTGGAGATCATGAAGTGCGGTCTGGTGTGACGTAGGCCTTAGAAAAACATTTTCTTTATCGTGTCAACGTTTCGATCTTTATTGAGATCATCTTCAGGGCCTGGGATTGATAAACATTGTTTAAATTTTACAAATACGTGTAGGATGTGAAAAAAAATGAATTTATACAACGCTAGAAATTCCTTTTTTTCACATCCTACATATATCTTTATAATTTAAATAATGTTTATAAATCCCAGGCTCTGAAGATGATCTCAATAAAGATCGAAACGTAGGCACGATAAAAAAATTTTTTTTCTAAAACCTACGTCACACCAGACCGCATCTCACGATCTCCAAATGATATAGTTGAGAAATGTTAAAACTGCAATCACCACGCGATTCCTATTTTCTAAAGTTAATTTTTTTCGAAATATAGGGGGTAAGCAATCTTGTTACAAAAAGCATACCCCCTCATGCATCTTCCGACAGGCAGAACTCAGAAATGGTCGATCCCATCAAAATTTTTCTCTCAGTAAAAGTGGCGTAAAATAAGCTCTAGAAACGAATTGTACAATAAAAGTATGGGAAAAGTTAGTCTCATCTCCCCGCTTCACTTGGGGTTTGTATAAGACTATTTTTTGCTAAAGTTAATCCTTTCCAAATTAAATGGGTGGAATATAGCAGTTGATACACCCTATATATACACTATAAATATATTATCTGATAAAGCTTACAAAAATGCAAAAGTGCAATTCAATCGAATTTCAGTATTTTATCAAAAGGTCTTCAACTATTTTTAAATATTTTTAAGCCAAGACGAAGGTATTTTTGAAACAATTCCATTAAAATATTTCACATATATCCACTGTTCCGATTCTTGGAGAGAAAAACAGGATCGTTTTTTTCTACCGATATAGTTTTGTGCACCTAGAAAGTGTTGAGAGTGAATGTATTTATTAGCGTGAATTTTTAGTGTGAGAGGACCTACGGCGCAATATTGAGTACCACATAGACCCTCACAGACGCGTTTCGGTCTGTCATTATTCATCATCCGTCTTTATCTGAATTTATAAGAATGCAAAAAAACCGTCAAACCACTTTATGTAAAAAAAAGTTATGTAAATTTTTAAATTTTCTCATTATCACTATTACATTTTGGTATATTCTTTATTATTATCCTGTATATAATTTGTACCATTTTTGTTATTTAGTCACTAGATTGAACTAGAAGATGGTCTATATTAAATCGAAACGCGTCTGATGTAATAAATGACCAATTTATTTCCTACTCATCTTATTATGGATTTTGACAAAATCAGGATGGGTCATAAAAAAAACAGTTATATAATAGTTTTCAATTAATTATCTTTAAGTAAGGTATTGGTTGAGATAAAATAGGCGACCAGTCACAACGCGCGTGAGCCAGTCACGAGCGGGATTCGAACCCACGACCTTTGGCTCAATGCGCGGTTATATAACAGGGTGAAAGGTCGATGGAGTACTCCACTACCCTAGCTGAGTGAATGGTATGAAGAAAGAATGAATAAAAATGTGAATGGGTTTGGATCTAGGAACTGCACGTGTTGGTGTGGAATTGACCTAGTTGTTGACAGGAGCCGGAGCCCAATTTCGATGGATGGACAGGACTGATCCAGGACTGCCAACACCCGAGGTGGGTGATTCTCAAAGCCTGCCGGTAATTTATCGTAAATTACAAAAGCTGGAGTTGCCGGTGGCTTGCGAGAAGTGGTAAGCTCAACTCTGCACTTTTGTGTATATATATATATATGATTTTGAGCTTATATATTATATATATTAAACTTAAGAGACCGAGCATATTTACAAAAGCCACAATTTACCTTCAACTCACAAACAAAAGGAAACCGCAATGGAATCTTTTCGTTAATCGTTATCGTGGCCGACAAAATAGAAGGATAACGGATTATTTGTAGCTGAAAAACCGACGACCTCACTATATACAGTCAGTTGGGAACCTTGAACTTTCCTAAATTTGTTTTAGTTTCTTCGAGATCGTGACATTTTCTCTTTTCCCCCCGCGAAATATTATTTAACCGGTTGAAACGAATGTCTATTTTTATGTGCAAATCGATTGTAGACGTAGAATTATAATGAAAATTTCATGATTTTTCATCTGTTTTCTAGTCAGAGGCTTTTCTCCTTTACTAACTCTCTGAATGATCAAATAAATATACTTTATACTGCGAGGTAACCAGAAAGGTTTTTTCATTTGTTATTGTTTAATGTTTATTGTTTCAATAATCAATATTTACATGTGAGGATAGTTGTAATTCGAAGAGCATAATCAGTTCATAAAGAAAAAGTGTATTTAACAGTTCAATATAAATAATAAAATATTTTCTTTCTCGTTTATTTATGTGTTTATTGTATGAATTTAAAAGCACGGTACTAGGGCAGCCAAGGTAGCTCGGAAAATTGGCACTGCGTTCAGTGATGAAATAAGTGAGCGCACTGCCCAAAAGTGGTTCAAAAATTTTCCTTCTGGGAAGGGATTAGAAATAAACTACGGTCTGGTAGACCTGTCTTGAATGATAGTGAAATGTGCGAAGCAATGTACTTGATTCGTGTCGAACATATATGAAACCATACCCCTCGCTTACAAAGACTTGGGACTGCGTAGAAGCTGGGTAAATAAACGGTTTCCTCATAAATTGACAGATGGCAACATGCTTCTAAACAGCCTTTCATTACTAAACTTATTTTGACCAGATTGTCACATGGGAAGACAAATCTATGCTGTACAGTAACACCTAGGAGGTCACTACACGACACTGCGAAAAGGTGATGCTTTGTGGTGAAGTACGGCAGGCACTGTGCACTACGAATACTCGAGCCAACTGCAACGAGTACTTTTAGCCCTGGCCCAGAAACAACTTGTTCTCGTGAACCGAAAAGGTGTAATTTTTCACCAGGACAACGCCAGACATCACTAAGATAGATTATAGATGCCAATGAAGATTATTTCCCCGAAAATATTTCTTAACTAATATTAATTGTTGCAATTATTACACCCTTCAAACCCGCAAGAACTTCTCTGGTTAATGGTATTTTCCTATTAAAAATTAGCTTTTACACTAAGTACATCTTGTATTTATCTCCTTATCGCCGCTTTTCAGTCAATTAAAATTCAGTAAATTTTAAAGATTGCTATTAAATGGTGAATTTAATTTTAATAAAATAATTCTCTCCCTGTCTACCTATTTTTTTTTTCATTCTCACCAGGTGAGCATCTGACTTCTGGATGAGAGTCAACTCGGTTAAAGACGTATACATGTAGGACATTGGACTCCCGACCCCCTACTTTTATCAGACTGGTGGCCTATTTCTACTCTTTTTAGCTAGATCAAGATCGCGATTCCCGACGGTTTTTACTTTTTTGTTTATTTATTTATTTTTTAAAGGGAATAATTGTTATATTACGGAGGAAATATTGAAATTACGATATTTTTAATTATTATTTATGGATATTGTACAATAAAGTTTTTGGGTTTAAATTTAAACATTTTAAACAAACGATGTACAAATAAAAACAAGAAAATAATTAAGAAAAAAGAAGAACAACAAACAAAATCTTACATCGAGAATTTATGCTTAATTGTCAAAAACAGAACACAAACATGCTTTTCAAAGTCTTATTTTTTTCTTACATAACCAAAAATATAAGGCAAATATATAAAAAAAGAAGAAAATTACATTTCCCCCTTCCAAATAACGGTTTTACTTCTTGTGTAGCAAAAATGTAATGTAAAAATAAAGGCAAGTATAAAGTACTTGGATTTTAACCTGACGTTTTTTCACCTTGCGAAGCTCAAAAAGTAAGGCAGAAAAATAGGTAACCCCCTCCTCCCCAAAAAAAATATATTGTCTAAAGTAGTTCAGTCCAAGCTTATTGATCCATCCCATCATAAACCTAACCCTCATAAACCTAACCTAACCACCCCTAAAAA